ACACAGTCAACAAGCTTTTATCGCGGCTCCGTGTGTCGATGGAATGACACCACACCAGCTTTTAGCGTCCGAACTCAGAGAGGGTCCAGCGCTTGGCTGCCTCACTAGAGACACCGGTGTGCCCTTGTGGAGCCGTGACACTTAAGACGGGCCTATTAGACAGCAACAAATATAGACAAACAGGGGGCTTGGAGACTCGCTGGGTCACGAGGTTCGGCTGACCCCCCTTGCAATCAAGAAATCCTGGTCATCGGGTTTCCCCTTGCAGGATTCTTGGGGCGGCTGGAGTCAGCTTAAGTCTCAGACCTGGTCAGCGACAGTCATGCTTACACACAAACCTGTGGTTTCACAATTTAGGTTTCCAACAAATCATTAAAACAAAGAACAAGAGTACTCCTACTAAAAACAAAAGCAATCCACTGGAGTTTTCCTAACTCCTCATAACTTCCCCACGCAACCCACGGGTTCATGGTGTTCCTTCTGGGGCTTACAGAGGTTTCTACCATTTTGGGAGCGACCCAATTCCACAATATTGTGTTCTTTCCAATGTTCAGACCTATGTGCTGAACGCAACGCCCCCGGGGGACAAACAAATACTCAGACCTATATGCTGAGTGCAAACTTACAGATCAATATCTGCTAGAACACAGGAATAGGTATACTCACTCCGTCTATACCCCGGCGCCTTCCTCTTTTCTTCGGACCTGACAGCCTCGTGTGACTCATTCAATAGAGACTCCTTTAACTTTCCGGATGTCCCGACTCACGCTTTCGGTGCCGTGACGGACTCAAACAGTCCGGTGCGCACTTCACGGTCACCTACGGCGAATCTTGTCGTCCGACTCCGGAGTAGTCCAAGGGAGGTCCCATCTGGGGTGCCAATTTGTTGCATAAATTGCAAGGTTTCGTCCCCTTGGAGGCTAGTCTGATTTACCCCAAGAAGAGAGTCACACTTTCAGGCTGGGTCCAACTCAAGTTTATTGGTTGCAACCAAGGTACGGCTAAGGAACTCAATGTTCAAAGCAGAGCCGACCCCCAACATCTCATAGGCAGGGGGTTTTATAGGGTTCACATCTTTCCTGGTTTAGGTGCCTTAACATGATAGGTTACTTCATCTTTGACATTTAGCATTCCTATAGGTCAGGTTAATTTTCCAAATGAGGTTAAATACAGTGCCTACTTGCTGAACAATGGGCAAGCCATACTTCCCTTTTTCCTTTCCTGCTTGAGCCGGTCACAAGTTTAAAGGATGTGGAATCTATCCATATCTCTACTTAACAGAAGACTGGTTTCACTTCCCCTCGTCTCCTTATTATAAGTTATTACCTGTGACAGGCCTTGACCTTTGTCATGTCTTACTCCTATACAAATAGCAAATATATCTAAGCATTAGCAATGTATGTATATTGTACGTGCCCCTCATAGGGGAATCAATGGCTCCGGGGGATTTGACTTCCCTTTTACACATCAGTAGTGAGATATATTGAGAGAGAAATTGGTTCTGTTTGGGACAATATGGGAGGGAAGAACAAAATTGTGTATGTCTTCTCCAAAATACTACGGTAGGTAAATCCTACGTGGGTAGAGAGTAATTTCTGATGTCTTGCCTGTTGTGAGTGGGAGAAATGTACACAGTATTTTTTTCTTTTTTCTTTTTAGGGGAAAATAGTTCATCAGAGTTTAAATATTCTGAATTCCTTCTCTCAGAAGGTGAAAATACAACATTTACGTTCTCTGTCTGAAGATGTGCGGTTTTATTACAAGAGATTAAGGAGCAATAAAGAAGATTTAGAGCCAGGAAAAAAATCAAAGGTTGGAGATTTTTATATATTGCTTAGAATTAATAGGTGGGTTTTCTTTAAAATAACACACTGGCAGTTTTGGAGTTATTGGATAAATTTATTCTCTCTATTTTAGTCATCACGGATGCTTGTTTGATTAATTATTCTTGTACAATTTGCAGATAGCAAATATATATTTTGATCCTGGATTACAGTGCGGGAATCACTGTTACGCTGGATTGCCTTTCTTATTTAAATGTAAGTAATTTTCATTTCTACAATTAAAATCTCAAATTAATCCACCCTTAATATTGAGGGGTTGTATAACAATGTGTTTTTGTTTTTAGCTGAACCTAAAATTCAGCACAGCTTAACGATGCAAGAAGATGCATGGGATTCAGACTGGGATTTGCATGAGAATTTGTTCAGAATGTGGGCGGGAATCAGTGAGAATTCAGATCATAGGTGAGTGTATATTTGCCCTGTTGCCTGTGAATCACTTGATTCTCTTTGATATGTGTTGTATGTTTACGATATCGAATTGTGTTAGGAGAGATGGGCAAGGAATAGTTGCTAAATTTGCTCTTAAAGAGATTGAAAGGGAAGAAATGACACTTAAAGTGCCATTTGACTTATGTAAATCAACGAGTGTGAATTTGTAGTTGACTAACTTACTTTGTAAACTAGAAGATGAAAAGAAACCCCAGCCTACAAAGTGTCCCTAAAATGCCTGGTATTGCTTGTGCAAAATAGCTGCTATACTCCTGTTTAATCTAGGTGATCTCCCTTTGCTGGTGTACTAAAGTTGCTTCTTTTCAGTGGTGAACAAAATAATCCATTGATTTTATATATAGTGTTTTGAGATACTATTTTTTTGAAAGGTATTGTATGAAGGGTGTTGATTTTAGTGACTAAACCCTATTCAAGCTAATGCTTAAGAAGTGGAACTGCTATGTGGTGCAGCTGCCATATTTAATGTATGAAGTGACTGCTTTTAATACTGGATGAAATGTTCAGTGTCTCTCAGAAGGGTATTGTGTGGATTAGTTAACGCTGGCAAAGTGCTTTTGAGTTGCTATTTATTGTGATCTTAGCTTGGATTTTATTAATGTTCTAGACTTTGTGAAAATATAAAAAATACATTGGTAATGAAATATTGCAATAGAAATACATCAACAACATTAACAGTATGTGCCTGTCACATCCCTCAGAAAGCACAATAATAAGTCTTAAAGGAAGAGAAATGAGACCCTATCAGAATTTGCCTGAACTTACCTACTTTTTGTAGTTTACAGTGAAGGCTATATAATATTTGAGGAAGAGGGAAAATGCATCTGTAAATAGTTACATGATACAGTGAATGAATCCATCTAAATTCTGTTAAAGAAACAAATACAGAGAAAATTTAAACAAAGAAAGGGGCATGCTCAGCTGGAATACAGAACAGAAATACAGGACTAAAGCCCAGAGTGATAACATCATACCACTAGAAGGCCTTTTCTGGAGTGCTTATGACCTACTGAACCCTGGCTATTTATGTATACCTCCCATGCTCTTACCTGCCAACTGAATCACTAGCACCACCTAGTGTGGTTTTTAGTATTGGGTTGGTCTGTCCCTTACTGGGTGAGAATCTCTGGGTCTGACTGTTCATCACACTTCTTTCAGTTCTATATTCTCCATAAGCATGATATTGGAGCTAAAGAGAGGGTTTGTGCACTGAGCAGCTAGGCCAGAGAATAAACCATTAATGGAACAATAGGAAAACTGAAGTGGAAATACAGAAAAGTTTAAGGCCTTAGTGCAGTTAGGCTAAATGGCTAATCCCGTCTTAAATTGGAATCAAATTGTAGCCACATCAGACAAACATGTATCCTCAGTACAACCATCCTTAAGCATTCAAATATCATGACTTAAGCCTCAATAAGGGTATGTCTACACTGCAGAGGTTTTTTTCCGAAAAAACATCATTTATGTCCACACTGCAATCATGTTCTTTTGAGAAAAAGTTGAAAGAATAGGATTTTTTCCAACAGTGGTAAACCTCCTTTCTACGAGGAAGAACAACTTTTCGGAAAGAGCTCAGCTTCCCGGAGAGGCTGGAGTTACGAAATACATGGGTGTTGTGCGCCCTGCCTGACCACCCAACAAAAATGTCAGTAAACTGTCCACAGTGGTCAACCAGGTCCTGCAGCACCATTGAGAAGTAGCCTTTCTTGTTAATATACTGGGCTGCTCGATGTTGTGGTGCGCAGATTGGAATGTGTGTTCCATTTATGGCTCCACCACAGTTCGGGAACCCCAGGGAGGCAAATCCTGCGATGATCGGATCCAGGTCTCTCAGGTGGATGACCCTGTGCAGCAGGATGTAGTTGATGGTCCTCACAACCTGCAGAAGGAGACAAACACACAAAACAGAGAATGAGAAGGAGCCTGAGCCTTTGGGAGGTACCCCCCTCCCCAAAACCTCTGGAGCCAACCCGCCCCCATCCCCCAGAGCAGCAGAGCTGTGAGAGGGTGGGACGGCACAACCCCCCCAGAAACCCCCTTTTCCAGGACTCTTCCCCCACCCCATCCCCACTCCCTGGACAGGGACTGCATCCCCAGAATGCCTTGGGGGTGATGAGCTTCTCCAGGCGGATGAAGGGCCACAGGGTGAGTGTCGTGTCATCAGAGGGGAGGGGCAAGCCAGGCACACAGCTCCAAAAATATGGCCTTCTGTATGTGGAAGTTTTGGAGCCACTGTTGGTTGTCGCACTGCTCCATAACCAGCCAGTCCCACCAGGTCAGAACTGATGTTCAGCCTCGAGAAAAGTCTCTCCACTGTGGGGTGCAGTTGTCCAGTTCTTGCTCCCACACACAAGGAGAGGGTCTCAAGAATGAGCTTGGTGTCAAGCTCATGCAGGGCTATGAAGGCATCTGGCACAAACTGCTGCAGAAACTGCAGCATGGCCATGTGGGGCCATTGCATGCCCGGGGGCATCTCTAGCTCCATGGCAAAAAGAAAAAAGCTGTGGTGCCCAAAAAAGCTGGGCAACCAGAGCACGCACTTCAGGAGCTTTGCTGTGCCTCAGAGAGGTAGGCAAGCACGCAGCAGAAGCAGAAAAATGGCTCTCCAGGAACATCCCTTTAGGTGCGTGTCTCAGCTAGGCTTAGGCAACAGCACTCAGAAGCAACTGGTGACCTAATGCCCTGCCTGAACTGGTTCTGGGTGGCCTTATGTGAGATAGCATCCAATCAATGTGGACGCTATCTTTCGAAAAAGCGGATCGCTTTTTTGATGCACTTTTGCTGTATAGATACTCTTTTTTGGAAGTTTTTCAGGAAAATCTCTTCCGGAAAAGCTCCTTCTGAAAGAACCTGCAGTCTAGATGTAGCCATAATCGTGATTGCATTAAACATCTTTCTCTCTCTGTTAAAAAGTTCAGAACCCAGAATTTTCCAGAAGCAAGAGCTGGTAGTAGGCTGGACAGACTATAGCCATTAATTCATTTTTGTTGTACTGTAAGTGTAGGTGTAGCATGTTTGTGATGAGATTTAATTGTAACTATTTCAAATGAGAGAAATTTAGTATTAAAAATACAATATCTAATTTTTTATTTTTTATCATTGATTTTTATCCACCCTGAATTTTAGATTTTTTCCTTGATTTCTGATTTGAACTTTTAGGGCTCACTTGGGTCTGATTTAGGGACGTTAGTGTGTAACCGGTTAACCAATAAGCAAATGCTTATCAGTTAATGCTTCCCGTTAACTTTTCATATCCCGTCTCATGGATTTTTATGCTATTTAACAATATATATTAAAATAAGAAAAGATTCAGGTGTAACTGATTTACAACTCCTTTTTAGCACCACTGTACTCAGAGCCTTAGTTATGGTCTAAGTGCCATAAAACACCTTTGTAACAAGAATATTCTGGTACCTGAAGAAAGTAAATACAGGTAAAACACAAACAGGGGCGGCCCGTGAGCCTAGGCGAGCTAGGCAGCTGCCTAGGTCGCCTCTGGTCCGGGTGCCCGATGATGATGTCACGGGGCACCGAGACCATGCAGGCAGGGGCGCCAATTGCACCGCCCTGCCTAGGATGCCAGCTGCTGCAGCCGGCCTCAGGCTGCTCCTGAGCACAAATGTTTTTACAAAAGTAAGAATATACTGGAGAATTGTGCATTCCAAAATATTTGTATTTTCCAGAATGCATGGAAAGTGAACAAAATGTTGCTGTTTGGCTATTGACATTCCACTGTCAGATCATGGTGGATTTTATAACTTTTTTCTTTTTTTTTAAATTCAGATTGAGTGCCATGTTTGAAGTGGACACTGATCTCCAGAAGGATGTAATATTGAAAATCACAGCCGAACTGGCCTGGCCATCCATACTCAGCTCACAACGCCATTTAAGTTTCCCGCTTACCAATACCAACAGCTCGTCAGTAAGTGTATGTGTGTTAACAGTGACACAGCATAGTTTTAAATAGGTCTTAATGTTTGGAAAAGTTTCACTATATTAATTATTAATATTAATGTAAATGTCAAATTGTTGTTTGTATTAGGAAGAAGAAATTCTTCTAGAAAACCCTGCAGATGTTCCTGTCTATGTTCAGTTCCTTCCCTTAGCTCTGTATTCCAACCCATCAGCTTTTGTAGACAAATTAATAGAGCGGTAAGTATAGTTTGGAATATTTAAACTCCTTTTGCTTTGATGCCATCAACACAGCAGTTAACAACAGTGGTGTTGTAGAGAGAATTCAGAGCTATAGTATAAATGGGAAATGAAAAGATAAAGAAACTTTAGTACACCTCCTTTGCCAGCCATCAGTTTGTGGCAGCACTGATCAGCTAAGCAAATGCTTCAGATTTTCTGCTTTGGAACACAGAGTGGACAAGAGAGACCAAGCAAAATAAGAAAAATGAGTGGCCATTTTGTAAATTTAGTCTTCTTTACAGTTGCCTTAATATAAATCCTAGACTTTTGGTTAGTGTTGAAATCCAAAAATTATTTTAAAGTGTTATATAGGGCCTGTTGTCAGTTATATGAACTTCATTAATACCTGGATATTCTATCTGACTGTAATACAGTTTAGTAAGATGCATATATTTATATTTCAGGTTTAATTTGAGTAAGCCAACAAATTTCCATTTAAGAACACTAGAATTCCAGGTTTCCAGAAACTCTGTGAGTATTTCAGAATACTTACTTTTATTCAAACTTTTTATATAGCCACACAAATATTGTATAACAAAGGTGCAGACCTAGACTTCAGAATTATGAATGACATCTGATGATTGTTGGATATGTTAACAGAAATTGTAAAACAGTTTTCTTGAAAGTTTTTGGTTGTACTTCACATTTAACTTTTTTCCCTTTGAGTCTTTTATGTAATCATAGACTTAAAGATTGAAAATAACTTCTTGGCTTATTTATTCATTCCCTTACTGATTTAAAAATATTCCCTACAGAATAGTTTCAGATGCTTGTTTTAAATACCAGCTAGTGGGACATCCATCACTTCACTCTTGGTTCAGAACTTTTTGGCAGTCAAAACTGTCCTTGTGATCTTTCTAATGTATAAATACATATTATTTTTTTCTCCAGTTAGTCAGTTTAAGCTATACCTAGTTGGTTGTTTTCCTTTCCTATATAAACCAGTGTTTTCTTACAGTAAGACGATTAGCAAAAAGTCACTTTAGAAATAGGGCTGTCAGTTGACCTGCATTAATGCCTGCGATTAACGCAGGACAGGATTAACACGTTAAAAAAAAATCAATGCATTTATCACAGGCGGTAATGCTGTGCTGCCTCTTTGAAGTGCTGCTCTGGCACTTCAAAGAGGCTTTGCGACAGCAGAGCTGGGGATCAGTCCCCATCTGATCCCCGTCTCCTAATGCACTGCCCCTTTGAAGTGCTGCTTTGGCATCTTAAAGGGGAACTCCAGCTGATCATGGGCTCCATACAGCGCTGCCCAGTTGAAATTCTGCAACAGCATTTCAAAGGGGAGTTGCATGCGATTAATTACTATTAAAATTTTTAATCACTTGACAGCCCTATTTAGAAAATTTTCCATTTTAGGTTTGTGTTCTCCTTTTTGCCTTTGTAATTGTGTTGAAGATTTAATAATCGTATACCACTTAAAAGATGTGAAGCACTATATAATTGTAAAGTTGTAATATTAGTGTTAGAGATGCACATGAAACAAACCCTTGAATGTCTCTGGGTTTTAAGAACCCAGGTGTATGTAGTGTGGGTCATATTGCTATCATTTGTCATGGTGAATTTGTTGCACTACTTTGAAGTTAGTAATAAAAGTAGAATTTTTATGCTGTAGATCTTTTGTTTTTTCTATTAAAGTCTATGGTAGCTTAAAAGTTAAATAACTAATGTTGCATTTCAACGGGTGGCAGTATAACTGCAATCTGTTCTTTTTGCCTGATCAGACTCTACTTGATTTAAAACTATTTGTATCTTACTTGAAGGGAACTTAAAGTCGATGATGGATGTTGTCCTGAATAAATGTTTGTATTTAACAAAAAAAAATTACCTTTGAGATCTGATAGAGAATTAAAAGACTTTAGGCAAATCAAGTATTTTAAACAACTTCATCAGGAAGCACATTTTGATATGAGATTTTTTTTAGAAAATATAGTTTGCAAGTATTCAGTGGAATCTATACAAAATTCCCTATTTTAAAAAGTGGTTTTTATTTTTCATTGTCTTAAGGTTCAGCCATTGCAGAGCACTACAGGATTTGCAGAGGGTTTATCTCGACATTCAGTTTTAAACGTAGTTTTAAAGCCTGGGGAACGAAAATCTGTCAAAGTAAAATTTACTCCAGTTCTTAATAAGACTGTGACATCATTAATTATCATCAGGTATGGTAGGTCTCTGTGAGTTGGGTTTGAGTTATTTCTGTAGGTTACTCATTTTAACATGCGTGAATAATAAATTGATCCATTGTTTCAAGATTAACTATAGGATCTCCAGGGTTTAGAATGATGGATTTAGTTTGTATACGTTACACTGCGATTTACAGTAGTCAAAGGCATTCAGTTAATATCTTCCAGTATTCATGTATTGCTCGTATGTTTTCTTCATTAAGTTGTTAAAATTCTTTTGAGTTCGTCTATACTTTTGTATTGAAAGTAGGGACTTGTCAAAACTATTTCTTAAAATAGTCTTGCTTAATTAAATTGGTTTAGTGTTTGAAAGTCTATGTAGGAATTCATGAGTTCCTTTACCAAAGTTTATTTTAACCTTTGTTTCTGCAAAGAATTATGCATGGGAATAAGTGTTTACTCATATATGTAAAACTGTTCTAAAATTGGGATATAAGGTTACAGTTTGTGAACATGTTTGCGACAGCTGTAGAGTGCATAATTTTGCTAACTGTACAGAAATAATTTGACTGTAATAGATACTATAATGGTAGAAGGCCAAGGAACAACTGAAAGCCTGAGGGTTGCAGGCAAGCCTCCTGGGCCAGGAAGTTCTTTACGTTTTAAGATCACTGAAGCATTATTAAAAGACTGTTCAGAAAGTGAGTATTCTAGGAAGACCTATTGCACTGAACAGAAAATCTCATAACTTCTAGCGTATATAACTACCAATACCTGCAGTAACTAGAAAATATAATTTTCCTTCTTATTTTATAACTTCTAGATCAGGGTTTCCCAACCTATGGGTCGGGACCCAAATATGGGTTGCCATTACATTTCAAAAAGGTTGCCAGGTGTCTCCCCAGGTGGCTCTTAAGGAGGCATTCACACATTTTTTTGAATTGCCCTGGGTCACCAGTTTTCCTGAATTATCAAAATTGGTCCCCATCTGGAAAAAATTGGGTACCGCTGATTTAGAAGAAGTGAATCTCAAAAATACATAAAATGTGTGAATTTCAATATGCAAACAATATTTCTGAGCAAAATTTTTTATTTTTCATGAAGTCTTAGGTATTTTGTTACTGACGAAAAAAATAAGAAATGTAAACATACAGATGAAGGTATTGTAGCGTTTTACTTGAATTTAAAGTGATGGATACTAGAGGCTATACAACCTCAGTTTTTAAGAGCAAAAGAGTGGAGACAGAAGCCCTCAATAACTGAACAGTTTGTGAGAGGTGCAGGAGAGGGTGATTGCTCAGGGCTGTTTCCCTGTAAGAACTAATTTATCTAGCAAATATTTATGGGAGGCCCACTATCTGACATGTTCTGTCATGTACTGCTCCACACTCTGAAGCCTACTTGTGAGAGAAGGGACTGTGATGGCCCTGAATGCCCATATCTCCAGAGGAATTGGGTCTCAGGAACTAGTCAAGAAGATCTGGCCCTCAGCCTTTGCTAGATACCCATGGTATGTCTGGCTATTCATAAAGAAATGTACATGATTAGACAAACCCTTCTTCATTGAGTGATGTGTTGAAAACTCTGTTCTAACCTCTAAATATGTATTCATTTTCCACTAGCAGTGTAATCTCTTAAAAGCCACATTTCTCTTAAAAATGCTGACTTTGTTGTCTTTGAAGTCATCTATGAGCTTTATTTTCAGGACAGAAAAGAATTTAATGTGAGTACAGATCATAACTGCACACTCTATCTGAAAATAATGTTTACAAAGTTCAGTTAAATGCTGCTAATACAAGAGCAAAGCAGACAGCCGAGTACACATGCAGAGTAGACAGAGTAATGAACAATAGCATACACCGATACACACTTTGGGGTGAGCAGGTTTATTAACAGTTTATAAACTGTCTCAATTCATTAGCTTTCTCCAGTTTTTAATGAGGAAATAGAATGCTATGGAATTGGACAACAACTATTCTACATAACAGCCATCAGACAGTATTTGCAGAGACTTCTGTTGCAATATCTTGTCCAAAGGTCAGGACTTCTGACCACACACGATTTCCTAACTAACACTATTTCCTAACTAACACTATTTCCTAGTGTTGCTTTTGGGCTTAGCGACGATGGCAGAAACTGAATTATGCAACATTTTTTCTAGATAATGCATTTATTGTACTGTTGCTGGTTTAACATAATCCTCAATGCTTTGTTCTGTACCTTTTTTTAGAAATGAAATTAAAAGAACCAAATTTCACACTGAAAAGAACGTTCAAAGTGGAGAACACAGGGCAGCTTCAGGTTAATGTGAAGTCCATGGAAATCAGTGGCTATACCTGTGAGGGATATGGATTTAAAGTTGTTAACTGTCAGGAGTTTGCACTAAGTGCCAATGCTTCTAAAGACATTGTCATATTGTAAGTACATTATTGTTGAAGAGTGAAGCCATTTTCCTTGTATAGATGAGAATAGTCTTACATTAGGAAATGCATATTCAAAAGCTTTACTCAATAAGAAATTGGAGTTGGTTAAATCCCCTTTTTAAAAAAAAAATTAAATTTTGAGCTTCTTAATTTTCTTCTGTACAAAGATTGCAAAACTTGATTCCGCTTTTAGAGAAGAAATGAACTGTTTGCAAGAACTTATGAGATTTCATAGCTGAGTACAGTATTGTATTTACAGGATGGTGATAAACCAACTTGGAATTTTTGTAATATGCCTCTATTTATACAGCTTCATTTAGGGATAACACAGAATATAGACATGTCCTTTTGGTTCATTGCAATGTGTACTGAAGAGGATCCATTTCTGTATGAGTGGCCCTATCATAATGTATAGCATTTTTACTCTGGAGGCTTTATGTAGGCAGCAGTGACTGAAATGGTAGGGGGTGTTTTAATCAGAAGTTGGATACAAAAAAGGACCCTCTACTCCAAAAATTGTTTGGGCCCTGCTGGTATTTAATACTTCTATTACTTACTAATTGATTAGCCTTTACTTAAAAATTCAAAGAATTTAAGACTGTAAAGGAACAGTCCAATTGTTAGTCTGGCCTTCATTTAGCACAGGCCATAGAATTTCACCTAGTAATACCTGCATCAAGCTCAGTTGTTGGCAATGGGGCTACAGCATAGCTTTCTAGAACGATACAGTAATTCCTCAGTTAACACATGTCCGCTTAACACATTTTTGTGATAGCACGATTTTTTTGGGGGAACATTTTTCGAACAACACAACCCGTTCCCACAATAACACGATTTCCCCTAGGGCCGGCCGGTGGCTGGCAGCTGTGTGAGGCTTTCCCTGCAAAGTGGCAGAGGTTTTCCGCTCGCCGTGCTGTTCCTCAGCGACCCACTCTGTCCGGATGCTTCATTCCCTCTCCTCCGCCCTGCGCTTGCAGCTGATGGCTGGGTTTCCCCAGCTCGCCGGTCAACGGCAGCTGCACGGAACTTCGTCTGCCTCCTTACAAAGCGGTGGAGATTAGCGGCTCGCCACGCAGTTCCCTGGTGACCCCTTCTGGCTGGACGCAAGGCATCCAGCCAGAGGGGGTCACTGGGGAACTGCACAGCGAGCGGTGAACCTCCAGAGGCAAGGTAAGCCTCGTGCAGCTGCCGGTGACCGGCCAACTGGGGAAACCCAGGCGCCACAAGCCCCCTCCCCTGTCCTTCCCTTCCCCAGAGACAAACACTTCCCCTCCCTGCTATAACCCAGTCCCCTTTCTCCCCCAACCTTATGTCCCAGTCCCAGTTGCTAACAAATGCAGGCTGGAGCTGCATGCACATGTGCGCTTGAAACGCAACCCCCACCTTTTCCATTATTTTCAATGGGAAAATTGACCCCACGTAACACGTTTTCACTTAACACAATCATTTTCTGAAACTTATCTACCGTGTTAAATGAGGAATTACTGTATTCAATCTTGACTTGAAGTGACAAACTTTCCACTTTGATGATCTGTTTCATTGCTTAATTATGATCACTCTAAAATTTTGTATTTTTTACATAATTTTAGTTTGATTTTTTTCTTAAAGAAAAAAAATGATCCAGCTATAATTCCAAGCATTATATCCGGTTGGCTTCATCTGCAAGATAAATCTACCCTCTGATACGGTCTTATTTCTAGGCCTTAATCTTCCCCCCTTACTGAATATCTTTTTTCTGTTTATATACTTGCTAGGCTGATTTCATTGTTTGTTATTCAAATAATATGCATAGATACTATTTGGCTAGGACATATGGGAAACTAATTATCATTTTACTGATTCAGTCAGTTTCTGCAAACCTCCCCAGATTTGTCATTGGAGTTACAATTATTTTTTTAAAATATGAAAAGGATGAATAATGTAAATTATATACAACTTAATTTGTTTTGCCAGACTTAATATATGAACAGTTGTAACAACGTGCACTTACTTTTTCAGGTTTACACCAGATTTCACTGCTTCCAGAGTAATTCGTGAACTGAAGTTCATTACAGCAGGAGGCTCTGAATTTATATTTGTATTGAATGCATCCCTGCCATATCATATGTTAGCAACATGTGCAGAAGCCCTGCCCAGACCCAACTGGGAGTTGGCACTGTACATAATTATCTCAGGAATTATGAGGTATGAGTTGCTTGTACCCGCATAATGTACATTGAATTGTCTAATTATGAATACAAAATACAGAGCGCTGATGCTTAGATTTTAGTATAATTTAGGATACCTTTTGCATACAGTGCAATTGATAATTGATGTAAAATATTTTATTATAAGGAAGTTAGGGGAAAAAAGGTGCAGATTACTATGGATTTTGGGCTAATACCATGACGTTGGGAATTGTAACTTTCTGTGCAAAACTAGTATAAAATAGTTTGTGTTTGCCCAGAACATCTTTGCTACGATCAAATATTGTACTTGTGTTAATCCCGATGATTGTCGATGATTCAAGTCTGGTTTAGTTACATTAAGTTATGAACTGAGACAGTGTTGTTAAACATGGCTCCTTTTGGAGATGATACCCTTTGGCAGTGCTGCACATTAAGGAGATATGACCCAAAGATAAAGACTTACTTAAGTTTAGCAGCAAATACCTTTTGAATGATTTAATTCTGCTGCCATCTCTGTGTGACAGACAACTGATGATACTAATAATGGAATTTCTGAGAAGCTGAAGGACATAGTTCAGTCATATGTAAAACATTTAAAATAGGATACCATCAGTTATTTAGGTTACATAGTAGCCTCTGAATACACCAGATTAAAAAAGCACAAAATCTTTCAGAAAATGTCATTGAATTTACCATCATAAAAGAGATTACTAGCCTTTGAATTGAAAATGTATTACGCTTCGTAGGCTGAACTGCACTACTTCATATTAGTTTGTGAAATCTGAAAAAAACTTCCCTCCCCACCTACCCAGGATGTTACAACAAATGGTATTACTGTTTCAAAAAGTAGTTTTTTTTCCTTTTAGTGAATATTGAATTAGTTTCCCAGCATAAAAAATACTGTAGTACTGTAAGTGTTTGGTATACATAGAAACACTTTCACCAGATGATGTGAACCTGAAAAGTTGCCCTAATCGTATATCCTCTACAACCCATCTTTCATAGTGATTCTGGCTCTGAAGTTTAGTTTAGATCCGTGCTAAGGTGTTTGGCTGAAGAAGTGGGCTGTGCCCACGAAAGCTCATGATACCATCTTCATGTTTTGTTAGTCTTTAAAGTGCTACCAGACTATTTTTTGGATTTTTTAAGTTTATCATATTTTCAGTGTTTTGTGAACAATGGAAGGAATGGATAAAGGAGGTTAAAGCATGATGGAATCGTTTGTTGACATACATTCCAACACTTTGCCTTTTGAGCAGTACAGCTTCATAGTTTTTCTCCCCCTAAATAGTTGCTGACTACTTGCAACCTTAACTTTAGCTTAATAGTTTGTTCACTAGGTAAATAATACAGGGGTCATTGTTAGTTCTAACATTTTCTGTTCAAATTGTACAGCTTTCTGTGGGATTTTGTATATGCTTCGTAGTACAGGTTGGAACTCTGGTCCAGCACCCTCGGGACCTGACTGGTCCCAAATGAGGGAATTTGCCGGACCAGAGGAGGACCCCTGCTATCTGCTCCCCATACCACCTTCCCTCCCCACTGCTGGCCCCAGCAGCCACTTCCCCTCTCCCCTCCCCCCATGCTGCTGCAGCCCCGGCACCCTGAACTGCCCTGGCCCCGCTATCAGGGCTACCACATCCCTGGCCCCAGCCCTACTACCACGGTTGCTGCAACTGCCATGTCCCTGACCCTGCTACTAGATCTGCCGCAGCCCCTACTGCACTACCAGGGCTCCGTTGCCAGTCGCAGCCCAGCCTCACCAGGCTCTGAACTGCCAGCCTTCTTGCCACTGGGGCTCCCATCCAGGACTCCCTGGTCCGGGAAAACCCGTGGTCTTGCTGGACCGTAGATGTTGCCAGATGAGGGAGTCCCAGTTTTGGGAGGTCCAATCTGTATTTTGTTAGACAGAGTTACAAAACACTGTCTCACCACCTGCTTATAACTACAATATAAGTACCAGTACCTAATGTGGGAACATTGTCATGTTCCTGCCCTCTAACCTCATGGAAGGATCCAGGGGACAAGCTGTAGGCCCAAGTACCATATACAAATAAACTAGAGGTTATTTGGTCATAACATAACTAATTCACTTTTTTTTCTTGGCAAATTCTCTTGTTAGCTTTAAATGGTGCAGGAGCTGATAAAGACAGTGTGCAGCCTTTCAGTTGAGATGCAATCCTTCACTTCTTAACTCATAGTTATTAAATGTCCTGTGGCATTTTTTTGCACAAGTGGCAATGTTAGCCCTAATGTCCAGATCTAGTTCCATTTTGAGTTGTTGGTCTGCCTCCCTAAAGTCTCTGTGCATTTCCAGTTGAAGTGGTATTCTTCATTGCCATCTGCCCTAAATTAATACTATTTTGTGTTGTAGTAGCACATAACAGCCTCGCTGGGGCCCATTTTTCTAGGCAGCATACAAACACATAGTGAGTGAGTCCATTCCAGGAGGAGCTTACAATCTAAATAGACAAAGTATATAGTAGCCCTTTTTTTACCCAAGCAACAGTGTGTTATATAAACACTTACTCGGGGGGAGGGGGGGGGGGAGAAATGAATGTATGGTTATTTCCTGCTTGTTTTCAATAGTGCTTTTAGTCTGCACACTAAATCTGACAGTATTTTAATCCATCTAGTATTTTATTTGCTCATGACATTTTTACCCAAGAATTAATATTTATCCTGTTTTCTGTGTGTCAAATCAGATACTAACTTATGCTCCTCCCCTCATTTCCTCTCCCCTACCCCTGGGTACCATTGTGGCCTTGACAGGAATTAGTAACTAAGGCCAGAATTCTACTCTTTTAAATAGTGTTGATCTGGAGAGGTTTCCCTGTTTGATTAATCTGTTTTCCTTACCCTTTTATTGCATCTTTGTGTAACTTTTTTTGTCAACTGGTACTTCATTTCACACAGTGGAAATATCAAGAAGCTGTCAAAAATATGGGAGGAGGAGAATAGAGCTAGGGTGACTGAAATAAGTTAATTTCTGCTTCAGAAACCGTTATCTCTCATCCCCCCCAGAGATGGAATTGTCAACCTTTGGCATGCAATTTATCAGGAGGATAATCTGGGCATCTGCAAGACATTTTGTTTTCATTGACTGTCTACAGGCACGGCCCGCCCTCTACAGCTCCGAGTGACTGCAATTCAGCATTTCCAGCCATTGGTGAGAAGCTGCGAGGGGCTGTGCCTGCAGACCATCAACATAAAACATCTTGTAGCCCACTGGTGGATTACCCCTGATGGACTGCATACCAAAGTTTGTCAACCCCTGTGCTAGAGATACTTCTAAGTCCACCTGGAAACTTACACTTCTTCCACAATGTGGTGATACACACGAACACAAGTGCATAACTCCTGGACATTAGAGTCTGGAGTAGCTTCCTGTTTGCTTCTTAGTGGAATTCAGAAGTTTTATAATTTTCTTTTAGTGCTACTGGCCTTGTGCTTAGTTATTTGGGAGACTACATCTCACCCTGTATCGTACTGCAGGAGATCATTATCTGGGAAAGACTGTACATAAATTTGAACACTCAGTGAACAATGGCAAGACTCTCTCTGTTGAGGGTCCCTGCTCTTGAAATAAATTCCTTTGTAGTGTTCCAGAGAAGCTAGTGGACCCCCCCACACACACGGCATTTAACTAAGGGCTTGTCTAGCTTGGGAAGCTATTGCAAAATAAGTGAGGCTGTGCATTTAAAGTCCAGTAGTTATTCTGCACTAACTTCCCATATGGACATTCTTATTAGTAGGGATGTAAGAATTTAAACAGTTAACTGATAAACATCAGTTACGGCAAAACTCGTCACTGACCTGTGCCAGCTCCCAACTTCCAGCCCTGTTCCCAGGGAGCCAGTTGTTGCCCCATGCTGTAAACTCTTCAGTATAAAGTTTATACTGCAGAGCCCACAGCGCAGCTGGCTCCCTGAGAGTGGGGCTGGGAGCTAGTAGGGCTCTGCAGTATCAGGGCTCCGTGTGGGGAAGCAGCCAGCTTCCCGGAAGCAGGTCCGGGAGCTGATGCACATTGGGAACCGGCTTGTACTATGTAGATCATGCTGGGATGCTATAAGCCAGCTGCTGGCCCCGCAGTGTAAGCCTACTGCAGGGCCCACAGCATGTGTAACTGCTAGGATTTTTAAGATACACAGTTACTTTTAACCATTTTTACATCCCTCTTTATTAGTACATGTAGTACAGTATAAGTGTGTCTACCTAGGGAACTAATCCAGGCTTTTTCCCCATATAGAAGAGCATAACTTATTTTTTCCATAGCTTTTTTTCATTTGAGGATAATGTCTCTTCTTTTTGCACTTTAATTGTAACTCCCATAGTGATATGTGTACATTGAGGTGTTAAATAGTTATCTCACACTAGGATTTTGCTCTTTTCACCAACATATAAAATTGTTTTTGGGGTACTATTAACCTTTTAGTTTTTGATTTGTTGGCAGAAAATGCATGTAGCATTCAACCTTGTCATTCCTAAAATAACAAAACCAATGTGGGTTTTTTTTTTTCTTGTTTCCTATAGTGTACTTTTTCTCTTGGTAATTGGAACAGCCTATTTAGATGCTCAAGGAATTTGGGAGCCATTCAGGAGGCGCCTGTCCTTTGAGGCATCAAACCCTCCCTTTGATATGGGAAGGCCATTTGATCTCAGGAGAATCGTTGGAATTTCATCTGATGGAAAGTAAGTACAAATGAATATGGACAAGACCCCATGGAAAGTAATATTTCTCCCTAGTACAAGAGATTAATCAAAGTTACTCTCCTAACAAAAGGGACTGGTAATACAGCAAGAACTTGAGGCCATCCAAATAGTGTGGAAGATGAAAGAATTCTAGCTTTTTGTAAAAGTCAGCATGAGAATTTACATAGAACCTGTTTTAAAAAAAAAAAAACAAGCAAACAAGTACAACGCACCAGACCGGGGCACATTTTTTTTCTGCTTTGGGCTCTCTGCTGGGGCAGGGTAGTCAATAGACAAACATGGGCCAAATTTGGACTGACAGTTGCTTTTGAACAGACTGTGAAATCTTTTTATTTATGATTGTTGTGACGTGGAAAGTGCTTCTCTGGAGCCAGGACCCTGACTATACCTTTACAAAAAATATACTAGCCCAGAGAGCTTTTTTTGAAAAGGAAACACACCTAATATTCTTTCCCACTTGTACTATATGGTATTGTTGTCATTTGTCCACAAATGTAAATAAGTGGATAGTGGATATTATGTATTAATGATTTGTCAGTTGAACCTTAAGGGGGGTTTTGTGTTGCATGTCTATAGGCAGCCAAGAACTGTGTAGTTTAGGATTACTAAATGATTTAATTACTCTTCTTCATGTAAAGAAATAAACACTTAGGCTGCGTCTGGACTGGCAAGTTTTTGCCAGCTGTCTACACTGGCCGCTTGATTTTGCGCAAAAGCACTGACTTCCTACTGTCTGAAATCGGTGCTTCTTACGCAAATACTATGCTGCTCCCGTTCGGGCAAAAGCCCTTTTCCGGAAATGCTTTTGCACAAAAGGGCCAGTGTAGACAGCTGAAAACTGTTTTGCACAAAAAAGCCCCGATGGTGAAAATTGCGATCGGGGCTTTCTTGTGCAAAACCGTGTCTAGATTGGCAAGGATGCTTTTCCGCAAAAAGTGCTTTTGCGGAAAAGCGTCCATGCCAATCTAGAACCTTTTTTCTGCAAATGCTTTTAACAGAAAACTTTTCCATTAAAAGCATTTGCGGAAAATCATGCCAGTCTAGACGTAGCCCCACTGTGTATTTAAACCACACTTATTGTGTATTTAAATCTTCTTCCAGCTTGAATGCACTTGGATCGGATTCTAATCACAGTTCCTCCAGAGGAATCTATGGAGCAGGTGGTTCCTCATCACGATCCAGCACAGGAAGTCATAAGCAATGCAATCCAACAGCACATCTGCACAGCAATAGAAATTCAACAGATGTTGAAAATGTTAAAACTAAAAACAATTCAAATGTTGGTAGCAGGACTTCCCTACAGGCAGCTTCCATGCAGTCATCTAACAGAGCGGGTCCCCTTATCCTGGATTCAAGTGCTATAGCTCAGAATCCTGCAGTAGGCAGACGATCCAGGGGGGCGAAGCAGAGCCAACAAACAAACCAGCAGCATTCTCATGCTCTGCTAGAACAACACTCCCAACAGCCAATACCAACAGTGCCTCAGCAACAAGAGCTACAGACTGAAAGTTCATTGTCACAATCACCACTTCTTAGCCCTTCACATCCCGAATGTCCTAGCAACACAAGGCACAGCTCAGAGGATTCAGATATTGCTGGTCTTATAGAAACCATGGACAAAGAGTTTGACCACCCAGAATCCCCTTCCCCAGATGTGTTCACAGAGCAGCCCCCTTCTCCAATAACAAAAAACAAAGGTAATACAACTCTGCTTTGCTTAGTGATATGGGTGACACATTATGACAGCCGGGAGTGAGATTTGAACTGGTAAATATAAAATTTTACAATTTCATAGTGTAAGCTGCTAACTTCTCAACTGTACCAGAACTTTCATGCATGATCTTCAGAAGGGATCATACACTTCCTTTTTCTCTCGATGATATTGGCATTGTCCATTCAACATTGGACACAGTTTCTTTGCAAGTTTTATATGAAATAGGTTTTTACTGAAAACCAATGGATAGATTTAGAAATCTTTTGAAATTACTTTCTTTCTGGCTTTTGGCATATGATTAGTTTTGGGAAAGGGAAGCAAGCTTCTAAAAACTGAAAAGTGGGCTTAGTGAATCAATACAGTATTGTCAGAATGGAATTTTTTATGCCTAGCACTTGCAGTTGTGACAGTCTTCAACGTTAGGCTGTCTGCAAGGTAATAAATTGTACCTGTTTGAATTTATTTTTTATACCGTGTTAATCTCTGTATGAAGGTAGGTTGCCTTTATAGTTCTTTAAATGTGCACCTTTTAATTTATCAAATTCTCTTAAAGAACATACATTGATTGTTTTGATTTTTACACAGTCTTTATAACAAATTTTGAATTTAATAGAAATTTATCCTTAGGGTGTAAATATTCATTAATGTAGCTTTGATTGCGCTGATGTCCAAAACTCTTTTCTGATTAGCCAGTTGAATGTAACACACACGTCTGAAGGGTCACCCTAGTTAAAAAGAATACTAGATTTATAATTGCAGAGGGGTTTTTTTTTTTTTTTAAATAAGATTTGTCTTTTTTGGTGGGGGAAGTAAGACATTTAGGCAGACTTGTTTCCATAGAATATTACAAGTGCCTTTCATACACACTATAAAATTAGAGATGCATGTAGGTGGGGGAAGAGAACAGAGACGATAAAATTAGAAATCCTGGAATGAGACTATATCACCACAGGGAGCAATTTTAGCTTGTATTGTAATGATTAAAAAATATAACGTAGTAACAACATTATGGACAAATGGTATTAAATATTCCTGATGGATACAAAGTGTTGGCTGTGCTTAAGAATAGGTGCCTCTAGAATTCCAACAGTATCAGGGTCTAGTGGAATTATGGAGACTATAGTTTTTATTTCTAAAAACTGGAAATAAAGTTGGTGTCTTTTAACGACTGAATGACTAGCATGATTTAACTGCAATTTTCATATTTGTTTCCTAGTTGTAACCGTTCTCAGCAATTTATGTATTGGAAGATTATCTTAACGTATTTAGGAGGAAAATAGCTGTTCTAAATATTGCAAGTGCCAAACTTTTATTTACCCATTTTTCAAGCAGTATGCACTTGTAATGACTTGCTGGTTTTTCTAACAGGTTTAGCAAAAGTCTAAATTAAGTTAGAACATTTCACATAAGTCCCAATGTATCATTTATAAGACATCATTTTTTTTCTCTTGTAACTTTTCCTAATTCTAAATACCTTTAGAGAGATCCATATTTCTATAAAAAGCAGCCAGTTAGCAGCCTTGATCATTTCTGCTTGGGGATGAAGACCTGTAGTAGACTTTTTTTTCTGCTTTCAGACAAGTATTTGTGTTAACTTTTCATCTTCTCAAACAAAATGAATTTATATATAAAAAGCTCTTCATCCTCACAAGTCTACACAGAACTAATATTTTCTGTACAGTTTTGAGTTGCACAATTTGAATTATAAAAGTGTAGTACAATTGATAAAAACTTGTTAATTTTCAATCTCCCTCTAATACACTTTTAAAAAAAGATTTCTTTATTTAGATATTAGCTTCATCCATTAGGACTTGGTTTTTACAAAATTGGTGGCCAATTCTTCAAGCAGTTGTGCATATGAGGAAGTGTGCTCAGATACCTTCAGCATAAAATTGTATGAAACCAAAAAGAAATATTTAAATATAATTTGTTGTAGAGACTGATGGATGATCTTAACTGCTATATCTAACTTTATAGATAAGTTCATGGATTTTTTTTTAAATACATTTTTTTCTTGTTTTGTCCTGTAGCAATATTCAAAACATTTGGGCTTAAATGCGGGGGGGGGGGGGGGGAGTTTTTTGTAGTAAAATAGTGTAGCTCAGAGAATAAAATGTCACACACTAGTTAGTCTCTCATAAGAACCTTGTAATATTTGTAAATGCCCTCAGCCAATCTTACTACAATTTTTGACCAAAAAATGCACAACTGATGTCTGTAGAGCAGTTCCATTTTTCCTTTGTCTGTTAGTGATAAAACTTTTAGTGATTTCTAAAATTGTCAAAATCAATCTGATATGTTGAAATTGTAATATAAAATGCTACAGAATTCAAACAGAACTCTGGTCACATGCTAGCTCTCTGTGACTCTTTGCTATGTGGCCAGTGTCTCAAGAAGGTGGCTAATGTTGGTAGAATCAAGGAGAGTAAATATGTGAGTACTAGTATTGGTCAAAGGTTTTAGGTTCGACACTATTTGCATAGATGAAGTGAAGTGGTATAAACACATGTGCAGAAGTCTGACGTTTCACTTTTAACCACGATATTATACAGAGAAAATGTTAAAAGGCTAAGGTATTCTAATTCTAAGGCAGTCTAATTCTCCTTAAGAGTTACAGCTTGTTCGGGAGGCTTAGCAGTGGATTGTTTTTCAGTGCACAAAGTGGCGCAAAATACTTCGTCTTGGAGCACAGCTGCTAATCTGGGGCGGTCTTTATCTCCTTAGGAAAAGGGAAACCGTTTCAGCGCAAATCTAAACCACAGAAGAAGAGGGAAGAAAAGGAGAGAAGAGGAAAGGGAAAGCAACAGGAGGATGAACTGAAAGATTCTTTAGCAGATGATGACAGTTCGTCAACCACCACAGAAACCTCCAATCCAGACACAGAACCGCTCCTGAAGGAGGTACAGAACTGTTAAAGGGATAGAAGGGTGCTTCCCTCATATACCTAGGTAGAAAGCATGGATTCTTCCTTTAGAGAAAAGAGAACTAGAACATGCTTGCATCTCTATCTTATTTCACACACAGGCCAAATGATGCTAGGTAATCTGCTGCAGCATTTCAGCCACTGGTATTTGGTCAAATGGTCATGATCATGGTTTTGTCTCAAAACATGAATTGTAAAACCAACATAAAACTAATTAGAGAATAGAATGCAGAAGCCAAATTTTGGGCACGTTTTTAATTTGATGAATTTATATCATCTAGAATCCTGCTATTTTGAAAGCAAAGCTGATTAAATACATGTAAAATATTTAGGATTCAGTTTGATCAGTTTTGCTTTTCAAGATGGCGAGTCATTAATTTGACAGTATAATTATATCCCCTCAGTTGAAAAGCCATAGAGGTTCTGTAAAATGAGAGAAAAGTCAAATAGTCAAGTTGTGTGAATCTGCTATTTCTTTACTTAAAAGCGTCTTTTCTTGAGTGCTCGCTCGTGTTCATTCCATGTTAGGTGTATGTGCTTGCGACCTGCACAAGTGCCAGAAGTTTTTCCCTCCGTATCTGTAGAGGACCAGCTCTGGCACCCCCGGAGCAGCATTTTGTGTGGCATGGCATAAGGGGTGCGGACAATTCCTGCTACCCTTCTTTCCATCTTATCACCAGTGACAGTACTAGAATGTTCCTTTAGTTCAGCAAGCTTTTTTTCTTGTGGGCTACATCTACACTGGCCCCTTTTCCGAAAGGGGCATGCTAATTTTAAACTTCGTAATAGGGAAATCCGCGGGGGATTTAAATATCCCCCGCGGGATTTAAATAAAGATGTCCGCCGCTTTTTTCCGGCTTGTAGAAAAGCCGGAAAAGAGCCGTCTAGATTATTCCGGAGGATCGGGCCAATCTAGACGCTCTTTTCTGGCTTTTCTACAAGCCGGAAAAAAGCGGCGGACATCTTTATTTAAATCCCGCGGGGGATATTTAAATCCCCCGCGGATTTCCCTATTACGAAGTTTAAAATTAGCATGCCCCTTTCGGAAAAGGGGCCAGTGTAGACGTAGCCCCAATGTATTCATTGCAAACTTTCTGTTCTAAATAGTTACATCAGTTAGATAATTCCCATGCTATGTTATTTAGTTATAAGGTCCCAGATGGGACTTAGCTTGAGGATGAGGCATGCCCTGCTCTCTGGGGTTTACTCAATCTGTGCAAAACATCTATGCCAGTCAGTGACATCTCTTCTCCCTCTCCCCTCCCTCCCCATACCCAGTTATTTAAGGCAGTGTTTCTCAATCAGTGGTATGAGTACTCTTAGGGGTACTTGAGAGAAGTCTGGAGGGTATGTCAACATAACTGAAATTTGGAGAAAACTGAATTTTTGTTTTAAGTTTTATAGCGCTTTATTATTTTTGTTCATGTCTGGCTACAGTACTCACACCCAAAAATTTCATTGCCTGCCTGGCTATGATTAAGTTGTTTAAACAAATGTGTTGCAACAGTAGAAAAAAAATGTTGTATGTCTGAAAACTACTAGGGGTACTTATACTTTTTTTTTAAAAGGGGTACGTTATAAAAAAGGTTGAGACGCACTGTTTTAACGCACGTAGGGCAGTCCCATATTATCATCAGATGGTATATCTGCAAACGTCTTAAGCTCTGTCTGAGGCTTGGTCTACACAATATAAGCTTTTAGTGATATGGCCTTGTCACTAAAAGTCAGATAGTGTGAATGCTGTTTGTCAGCACTTTTTCTGACAAACTTCCACCACCCCATGAGCACTATTGGCTTTGCTGGCAGGAGAGCACTATTGACCACAAGCACTGTGCATGGCAAGACTTTTGTCATTTGAGGGGGGAGTGGTTTTGCCCACTGGTGAACAATTAGTCTTGTTGCTCAATTGCCAATGTTAGACAAAGCCTAAGAGAGAGCGAGAGATCCAACTTAGTGCTCCTTTTGGAGTTGTCACTGGCTCTGGAACAGCCACAATTGAACTCCATGCACAGCACCACAGCTTTGCTGCACAGCTGCCTGCTGATACCATCATTGGACAGGCAAAAATTTACCTCCTTGGTAAGAGAGAAGAGAGAGACCGGTGATCTGCTCACAAGAACAAGGATAGTGCAGGAAGCAAACCTAAACCTATGAAGGGCAGCTCATCACTGCCAAGTGGGAGTTGGGCCCCAGCTTCAGTTGAGAACGTTAGCCCATCCTGGGACTCACCCCAGAAAGCAGCATGGGAGTCCATCACCTGAAGATATTGTCAACTCCAGAGGCCCAACAAGTGGCGCTGGATATTCTGTTCTTCTGTGTCACCCATTCCGGACACAGCAGCTGCCAGAACAAGGGGTAAGCCTGTCCTTGGACCATTCTCTTGGTCCCCAGCAGTGTGGCTTCGCTTGCTACCACAGGGAGTGTCCCATCATGCATTGCATGTAGAGCTGCTTTCTAGTCGGAGCCTTTGGCGCTAGTCTTTGAGTAAACATGACCCTGCAACCCCAGGAGTGTCATAGCTATTCCCTTCCATTTGATGCTAGTCTTGTGAAAACCTCTGTCAGACTTGGTACCAGTCACTGGACTATAGACCTAGGTTGCTGTACCAACATACGCACCTGACATTGCTGCATCAGTTATGCTCCCACTCCTGCTCTATTTGGCATCAACCAGCATTCAGTGTAGACAGCTCCCAGAGGGGTCCTCAGTGGAGTCCCATTTGACACCATGCATCTGTCAGTGTCACTGATGTCAGATGTCTCAGACCTCAGTTGGGGAATGCATCTTGGTGTGCTGTGGGTGTAAGGTACCCCTTAACATCAAAGGACTCATGGTGGTTTGTCTAGCCTGCGCAGTTCTTATCCTGCAGTTATCTGGTCAAATGGTTTAAGTGCTAACTGACAACATGGCCTCCATGTTTTACATCACCAGGAAAGGGAGAGAGCTCACTCGTTGGCCCTCTGTCAAGAGGCCCTCTGCCTATCAGATTTCTGCCTCCTGCATGCGATCCACCTAGAGGCCCCTGTCAGGAATACACCGGTAAATTGCTGCAGCAGTCCCTCTTCTCACCACAAGTAGTCACTCAAAAGTGGTCCACATGCTTTTCCTGAGGTGGAGGAACTCCCCAGGTAGATATGTTTACCACCAGGCAGAACAACATGTGTCATCAATTTTGCTTCCTGCGGAGCCTCGGTAAGCGTGCACTTTCAGATGCTTTTCTCCTGTCCTGGTTGGGAATCTTGAAGTTTGCACTCCCACCTTGAGTTCCCTGTAAAATGAGTGCTTGGGAAGCCACCCATTAGAGATTTAAATACTTTCCAGCTGATTAGCAAAGTGCTCACAGCTGGCAACATGTTTCTCTTGGTGGTGAACATCTGCACATGCCTTGATGCACATAACAAAATTTATTCTGCACACGGATGGAAAAATTAGAGGGACCATTGTTCCCGCCCACCCTGCTCGTCTCCCGAGTCCTGTCCAAAATCAAGAGGGACAAGACTCAAGTCACTGTATTGTCCTGGCATGGCTGCACCAGTATTTGTTCAGCATGCTATGCTGTTGGATCTGACAGTAACTCTCCTCAGTAGCCACTGCCAGACCTCTCAGTAGCCACTGCCAGACTGCCCAGACCCTCCTCAGTAGCCACTGCCAGACTGCCTCTCAAGATCACGGTTGCCTCCTGCATCCCACCCTCACCTTCCTCTACCACACAGTATGGATGCTGCATGGTTGATCCCAGAGGAGCAAGCCCACTCAAAGGAGGTGCAGCAAATCCTTTTAAAGTAGAAAACTCTCCACTAAGCAACTTACCTGGAAAAGTTGATGAGATTCTCCCACTGGGTGTCTGAGCATAAGATCTCCCCAATGTGCTCTTTGCTGCAGCCCATTCTGGAATACCTGCTCCTTAAAAATCAGGACTTGGCCCTCTCTTCTGTAAAGGTTCGTCTGGTGTCCGTCTCAGTTTTTCATCTGCCAATCCAGGGTAAACTGGTGTTCTTGCATGAGATGATGGTCAGATTCCTGAAGGGCCTTGAAAGTCCCTTTCTTCCTGTTAGGGGATCCTGTCCCATATTGGGACCTCAATCTGGTTCTTTCCAGACTCTTGGGTCTGCTCTTTGACCCCTTGGGTTCTTGTTCTCTTTCCCAGTTGGTGGAAAGTCACCTTCCTTTTGACTGTAATGCTGGCTAGATGAGTGTCATAGATTAAAGCACTGACCTCGGAACTGCTGTGTACTGTCTCCTACACTGATAAAGTACAGCGGTAATCCCATCCAGCCTTCTTGGCAAAGATGGTGTTTTTGTTTTCATATCCGATCAGGACATTTTCCTCCTGGTTTTCTGTCCTAAGCTGCACAAGATCTCTAAAGAGAAGCTGCTACATGCCTTGGAGACATGCTGTGCAGTGGCATTTTACCTGAACCATGCCAAATCCTTTCGTAAAGCAACACAGCTCTTCATTGTGACAGTAGACAGTTACGAGATAGCACATGTCCCACTGCCACCTCTGATAAGAGCCCACTTGATGAGAGCATAAGCATTGTTGGCAGCCTTCCTGGCACATGTTCCCCTGCAGGATATTTACAGAACCACATCATGGTCTTTGGCAGAGCTGAGTTTCAAAGCTTTACGTCGATGAACTCCTACGCACCTCCATTAGTATTGCTTAGGAGTCATCTCACATGGCATGAACATGAGCAAACACTTGAAGACAGTTACCTGTTCCATAACTGGTGGTGTTTGAGATGTGTTGCTCATGTCTTCTTCTCCATGACCTGCCTTCCTTTCCCGCTGTCAGAGTTGCAGCAAGGAACTGAGTGGAGGGGGGAACAGTTGGTATTGCTCAGACCGTGTCATACACATGCCACTCCAGAGCTGGTCTTCGGGATACCACAAAGGAAGAAACTTGGAGCACTAGTGCACGTGGCAAGTGCATGCACCTAAGATGATAGGAGCAACAAATCTCAAACACCAGTTACAGAAAAATCTTTTCTCTAGTTGAGATCAAACCGTTTCAGTTTTGAGCCATCTATCAAATGCAGCCTAGGTCATCAAAGTTACCATTCTCTGACTGAACCAAGTTGTCACAGTCCATAACTAGCATCCCTTTTAACAGTTTCACCAAAAATCTAGATGAACATGGAGTTCGAGCTACCTTCCTGTTCCTAGAATGGCCCCCCAAATCAGGTTTGCAGTGCTAATCTGGGGAAGTTTTCACTGCTGCTGCCCATTCTATACTGTTTGTGTAGATAAGCAGATGTTGAAATCCTCTGGGATGGTCAACAGCCTTTTGATAGGCATTACATTCACTGTAAGGATGGAGGGGAATGATCATTGTGAAGTGGTGAAATATTATCATCTATAAGGCAAATTACTCACTATTTTCAATTCCACTTTCTCTCTGTGGTTTTTAATGGAGCAGGATCTTTCAGTTACCATTCTTAGTATTTGTTACTGTCTTGCCTTTCTGCAGGAACCAGAAAAGCAAAAGGGAAAACAAGCCATGCCAGAAAAGCATGAGAGTGAAATATTCCAAAAAAAACAGAGGGGGAAAAAAGTATCAAATGTCAAGAAAGAAATTCCAGCTGAAGTGAAATCCAGGTGAGTGTAATTATAAGGATTTCTTCCTAGTTAGGAAGGAAATGTGAAGGTAGAGCTTTCTGTGGTTACCAAGTCTTTAGGCTGCTAGCTTGTCCAGAAAAACCTACTTGTAGTAGCAGTAACCTTACTTGTCTTCCTTCCTAATGTTGGAGAATATCTGTTCTGTAAATGTGAGCAGTCATCTGACAGGAATGCTGTGCATCGAGATACATTTTAGCTCTTGAATAGTGAATCATCTACAATAATGTGACGCTTTTTTGGTAAATGAGCTTATGTAGAAAAACCAGTTTGGCCATCCATCATTCATCACGTACTGCAGTTAAGTAATAAAGTATATGGTTCACACCTGTGGTTGATATCAGATACCCTAGGTATCACCAACCAGCAGATCAGGATCTACTGGTAGATTCTGGAGCCTCTGACAGGTGATCCTGACAGATTTGGCCACGATGTTATCAAGTGCCAGCACTTCAGCTGCCCCTCCTTCCCCCGCCCCCCATTGCTGTGCTGCTCCTGCCCTCTGTCTTGGAGCACCTTGCCTTTCAGAGTGAGACACACTGAGGAGGAGGCTGCTGAGATGTTAGGGTGTTTTCCTCCCTCCACCCCTGAACTCCATCTCCATAAAGTGAGCAGGGTGGAATGAGGGCAGGGCCTCAGAAGGATGGGGAAGGAGGTGAGGCATCGGTATTTGGGTTTGAAGTAGATTCTGGATTGACTTAAATTCAAAAAGTGATCTTGTGCTTGAAAAAGATTGGAGACCACTGCTCTAGGTGGAATTACAGTCTCAGGATTTTCCTGTTGAATCTTATAATTAGGGCCCTTATACATACCATTTCATTTAAAATTAGTTTAACTGGTTCATCTGTTTACATATGAAATTTCACTATGTTAATAACTGTCGGGTTCCGTCCCAAAAGGTGATCGGGGTTAGGGGGGCTGATGGATTGCCACCCTCACTTCTGCGCTTCTGCTAATGGAGGACCCTGCAGCCAGAGAGCAGAGACTATTGGCCAGGCCCCAAACTCTAAAGTCAGCACCATCACCCGAGCAGTACAGAATCAATGGTCACAGATTGGTAGGGTTGGGGGGGATTGCATGGGTCCAGTTTTCCTAGCAGTCTCTTGCCCCAGTGGAGAGGATAATAGCTGGAGCCACAGGTTCTCGGCATGTGGTAAGTACTGGTGTCACAGGTGGAGCTGGGACCTACCCACACAGAGTGGGATGTGAGACAGCTGGAACTGTGTGTGTGACCACTCCAGATGCAGCCTGCCTGTATGGGAGCGAAGGGTAGGATTGGTTCCTGCAAGTAATCTGGAGATCCCAGAGATGGGTTGAAGCAGTTCCTGCAAGGGAAGAAGAAATCAGAATTCCGGGCCAGGACTAGCACTGAAACCCTGTGCAGGGTAGGGCCTTTAGCTGGGTACCAGATTTCACCAGGGAGATTATAGTTCATGGTCTGTGATGCATTTTTTCAACACTGGCAGTTTGGTAGCATCCTATTTATAATTTATGCGTCAGATTCTTGGATTGGTGATCTGGAAAAGCTATTGCTCCGTCTCCCTTTTGTGTCATGCTAGAATGATTTTTACTTTTCCTCTGCATCATCTGTGCTGACAGAGAAGCTTAGTCTTACTACATCAATTTCTTTGTCATGCTGCTGACTTTAGAGTTTTATAAAATCACAAATACCACATACCTGAATTGTGTAATGGATGGAATGCTACACAGTCCTGTTTTTTGTTTCAGCTACACCAGACTAACACGGCTACATTTCTATCACTATTCTACCTAGCTGTGACAGTGTTGCACCATCATAAACCTCCTGTATGAAAAAAAACCCGGAGGTTTTGGAGATGAAGGTAGTTCACAGGCCCTTATAGGTATATGGGGCAGTAGTATCAAAGGTCAGCTAGTTTGGAGGATGACACAAATGGGATGAGGAGGAGGGTAGGAGTTTGGGTGCAAGATGATGTAGGAGGAGATATAGACAAAGGCGGAGTTAGAATTATGAAGAACTTTGAATGGGAGGAGAAGCTTGACATAAACAAGGAAGGCCATTGCAGAAATTCAAGGGGGAGAGGAGACTTAGAGCAGCAGGAGTAGATGATCTTGGCGGCTGCAGTCAGTATGGACTAAAGGCAGGGGAGTTATGAGTCATGTTAGAGAAGACAAGACACCTAAAACTACATGGCGTGTAAAGGTGAAATTCTTCTTCAACACTTCATCCAGCAACAAAGAATAAATCTGTTCATGTTTTCACTTTAGTTCCTTGGAGCTACCATGTACTTCCCCACTAGAAAACAAACGCAAAACCTTTTCATCCAAGATGTCTCTTCAGCACATGCTGGCAAATGGGTCCAAATCAAGAAACCTCCAGAAAACAAGAGGTACAGTATATCAGTTGCTATAAAACAAGCTTTTGCGGGGAGGGTTGTAGGTTTGGAGAATTTTTCTTGTATTACACACACTTTTTTTTTTTAATTTTTAGTTTTTAGAATTTTAGCGTCCTAGATCTCTGTACAAGGAGACGGTGCATCTCTTAATGGCCATGGGCTTGCTCTGGTTTTTTGTTTTTTTGTTTTTTGGTACAGGTCCAAACAATAAGTTAATGGACAGCAGGCCATCAACACTAGCAAAATTTCTCCCCACTGGCTCTGGACAGGAACTAGGCAATACCAGCAGTTCAGAAGGGGAAAAAGATTCTCCACCACCAGAGTGGGACTGCGTGCCACTTCACAAAGCAGGCAGCTGTAAGTACAGTTACTGAACAGCAGGAAACTACAGTGTTCTGTAGCACTTACAAGGACTATTGTTTAGACCTTCCCATCCTCCCTCCCCATACAAGCCTTTCCTGATTGTTCAATAGTGGCCCCCATTTTGACAGTAAGTAATGGTAATGTGGAGGTCTGAAAATTAGAGGTAGAACCTTGATTAATTTTTCCACAGATTTTTCTTTCTTAATGGGTAAAATTGTGGAAAAGTTGAGAATTGATAATGATAGGGAGAATATTCATTCAGCTGTTCATCTGAAAACAGAATGCATCATTCTTTTGAAATGTGGGCTCCATTTTATCAAGTCCAGTACAGCTGGGGTTGTTTGTATATTCCAGGGAAGCATTGCATTTCCATAGCAGCCAGCACTCCAAGTAAGGACCAGTGGCACCTTATGCTCAGTTCTGTACAGACATAAAATAGGCCCTCTCCCAAGGAGCTTATTAAGAAGGCTCTACAGTCTTATTTCCCTTCTCTACAATGCAAACTAACTTTATCTGAATCTTTCATCCAAGCTGTACCCCAAAACTGCTTATAGATACAAATAATATGAGGAGACTGTTCTATTGGGACCGGGGACAGCTTTTCCTCTACCTTGAAGCCAAAAGCTACATGTCAATCATTTGTTCTTCTTCGAGGACTGTCCCTGTGGGCTCTCCACTGTAGGGCTATGTCTATACTGCCCCCTCTTGAGCAAAAAATATGCAAATCAGGCAAAGTGTTGGAATATCGCCACCTCATTTGCATAATTAATGAGACTTCATTTTTGTGCAAGCAGCTTTTGCACAAAAACCTCCTCTTGCACAAGAGCCATTCTTCCTGGAAAAAAAGAGGAAGAACGGCACTTGCTCAAGAGGAGGTTTTTGCACAGAAAGGGGCCATGTAGATGGCTCCTTTTTGTGCAAAAGCCTCTTGTGCAAAAATGGAGCCTCATTAATTATGCAAATGAGGCAGTGATATTCCACACTTCACCTCATTTGCATACATGTGCAATAGGAGTAGTATAGACATAACCCTCATGTTTCGGCACCCCTAAGCTTCTAAACAGAACTTTTTGGCAGCAGTACTCCCTGCACTGTCAACCATCACCTCCGTTCTTTCTCAAGTGCTCCTTGTTCAGTCAGAACAGAACAGTGCTCCGGGATAGCTTAGCTAGAGTTCAGAGATACTATTAGTCTCAATGGTTTTTTTTTCCCCCATCAATTGTTAGGCTTAAAAATCTTTTATTAGTTATTTACTGTCGTTATAGATTTTAGGAAAATATGTCCAAGTCACCAGGCTTCAAGAGATTCCAGACCTAAAGGATGTCCATTCCGATATCGGATGGACGTACACAGTGCATCAGATGCCTGGGCAGGGAACACTCATCAAAATCCTGCCATCACTGCAAAAAGCTCTTTGCCAGATCGCTTAAGATAAGAGGACTCCAGCTTAAGCTCCTTTCAATGAAGAAGACAGACCAGCATCTGAGCCTCCTTCAACAATATCACTGCCCTGTACATCTCCAATGGTGGTGTCAGGCACGGGCACGGCACCGAGCCACAAGCCCTCTAAAAAGACAGTGAAGAGGAAGTATTCTTTGCCTCCTGCTGACAGGCCAACAAAGAAGACATCCCTGCAGCACAAGCCCTCTGCAACCAGGGCTACAGCATCCAGGGACACGCAGGTACTGGGGAAGTCCAGCAAGGACAAGTCCTGAGGGATAGACTCCTCTAAGGCTGCACGACCTGCAGCTTCTGTGACGAAATGCAAGAAGATTGCTTCTGTGTTGTCAGTACCAAAGGCTCCAGTACTGGCAAAACTAGCACCTGTGACACCACTATGGCAAAAGGGTGACCAGATCTCATCTTGGTTACTCCCAAGTCGGTATCAAGGCTCCATACCAAGAGTCCCCTGGCACACTCAACATCTAAAGTGTATGAGGATCCGGTATCACAGCACTTGCAGCCTCCTGCACCGTTGGTGCCGGTGTTCTTGCTGCCACCACACACACTGCAGCGAGACTAGCAGTAGTGTCGGTACTGAGCACAGTGCTCTTCAGTACCGACGCAACACCATTGTCACTGGGCCCAGCAGATTAGCTACTCCTGTGAACTCAGTTCTGCACTTCTCCAGCGACAGTGAGGATAAGCAAGATATGCCATTCTCTCCATGCCATTCCTCACCTAAGCCAGTGGTACAGGCCCAACAGCAGGTTGTCCAGATGCACATGTGGTAACCTTTTCCTTGGCTTCCCTCTGTCCCACTCCTGCAACCATGGCAAGGATGGGATCCATGGGCCACAGTCAAAAGCAGAAGTACCACCCCCTTTGATGCCACAACCACAAGAAGTGGCTTCTAAGCTCCCTCCACTGCCTGCATCCGAGTTGACGCGGGAGGATATCAAGGATCTAGAGACCCAAGATGAAGAAACAATGTCTCGTCTCTTGTTTTTTCATCCTCCCTGGATGAATCTATTATGCCACCGCCACCTACCATGGGTGACAACTTCAGATCATTTCAGGACCTGTACAAGAGGGTCACAGACTTTCTTGACATCTCTTTAGTCAAGGTCCCAGATGTACAGCATAAATTGATGGACATACTTCAGGCTTCTCCCTTGGGCAAGATAGCATTGCCAGTTAATGAAGAGCTACCCTTGACCCTGCTAAGATCCTATGGCAAACTCCGGTTTCTGTTCCACCCACATCCAAGAGGGCAGATAGAAAACATTTCATACCGGCAAAAGGAGCCAAGTTGTTTTTCACACCCCACTCCAAACTCCCTAGTAGTTGATGCTGCAGATTACAGGGGGAAACAAACACAATTTAGATCAACTTCCTATGACGACAAATTGGAAAAGATTGTACCTCCTCGGCAGGAAGTCATATTCATCTGCATCTTTTCATACGCATTGTGAATTACTCTGCCCTTCTTGCAAAAAAGATGTGCAACCATTTTGATAAAATGAGACTTTTTATTGACAAAGTGGCCTACAAATCTAGCATCGAAGAGGATATCTTAATAGCAGATGGCCCTCCATGCTTCTCTGGACATGGCAGACATGGCCTCCAGGTCTCTCGCCACACCAGTGGGCATGCGCAGGGTCGCCTGGCTCTATTTGTCAGGTTTCCCTGAAGTACAAAATACTGTTGAAGACCTGCTGTTTGAGGGACAGAAACAATTTGCGGACAATACTGATACTTCACTCTGTTCTCTAAAAGAGTCTAGGGTAACCCTCAAAATCCTCAGTATGTACGTCCTCCAACAAAAGAAAAAAGGTAATCAAATGTGTACGCTCTGGGGAAGAGCAGCATCTTATCCACACCAGAGGCCCTACGACCTGAGGCACCGCCAGAGACAACAGAAGTGGAGACAGCCACAGGATCAACAAATGACACCCCAGTCTGCCAATGGAAGGCAGAGGTTTTGAACCTCTGGTCGGTATTTCAATGTTGTTTCCTCATGCCAGTGCTTACAGATTCAGCCTATAATTCGACGAAACCTGGGCTGCAATAACAGCAGACAAGTGGCCCCTAGAGGTCCTAAGCAAAGTTCTAGCAACTCCATTCTTCAGATTTCCACCAACCCATCCCCATCCCTTTCAGGGAACCTTCTCACAGGCCCCTGTTACAGCAAGAAACAAACTGCTACAAATAGGAGCAATAGGAATTTTCCCAGAACATCACAGGGGAAAGGGGTTCTATTTGAGAGACTTTCTCACTCTCAAGAAGTTGGGAGGATGGAGGCCCATATTGGACTAATACTTCACAATGGTGATCCTGGCAAAGATAATTCCTGCGCTAGGAAGAGGAATGTCATCCCTCGACCTTCAGGATGCATATTTTCATATCTCAATAAAATCTTTCACGAGAAATTTCTGATTGCACTAAACAATCAACACTACCAGTATCAGGTGCTACCGTTTGGCCTTTCGGTGGCCCCCAGGGACATCTCAAAAATTCTGGCCGTTCCAGTGGCACACCTGAGAAAATCAGGCATAGTAATCTACCTATATCTGGACAATTTCCTGATAGTAGCATCAACAGAATGTCAGGCCAGACAATCCACAGAAGCCACAATCAGACTCTTTACAGACCTTGGGCTGCAAATAAACACACAAGTCCAACCTAACCCCTTTGCAAGAACATGAGTTCATAAGGGCCATGCTCAATTGCATACAAGCACAATTGCCTCTTCCAGGATTCCATGCACTTTCCGTGTTAACAGTCTCTCATATGCAGCCCAACAGTTTCAGCCAGACAGTGCCTGCAATTGCTAAGTCACATATCCACAACGACTTGCGTAGTACCTCACGCAAGGTTACACATGAGAATGCTTCAGGCCTGGCTGCGCACTTGCTTCCACCCACACAGGCACTCACTACACAAGATCCTCAGCCCTACAAACAGGGTCAGATAGTCCCTCTTGTGGTGGATTCAACACAACAACCTCTGCTCGGAGGTTCCTTTCCACCATCAGTCCACATCATGGCGGATGCCTCACTGGAAGATTGGGGAGCCCATATACGGGATCACACAACTCAGGGCAGATGGTCTTCTGAGGAGATGAACATGCGCATCAATGTGCTCAAGTTGAGAGCCGTAAGAAGGGCATGTGAATGCTTGCTTCCTCTTAATTCAGGGCAAGGCAGTCTGGGTATATACAGACAACACTGTATGCATGTTCTACATAAACTGGCAGGGCGGAGCCAGATCACATCAGCTCTGCAGCAAAGTGGTTGCTCTATGAATATGCTGCATACTCCCCAAAATAGACATATCAGCCGTATATCTCCTGGGTGAACAAAATGCCACAGCAGACAAGCTCAGCTGCTGTTTCCACCAGAAGCATGAGTTGGAGATACACCCTCAAGCACTGAATTTCATCTTCCACAGGTCGGACTCTGCAAAAATAGACTTGTTCGCAACATTACTCAATTCCAGAGCGGGCTTGGGCAAGAACTATGGGTGTTGCCATGATCAGCAACTGGCCTCACAATCTATTATATGCCTTTCCATCTTTTCCCCTCATAGGGAAGGTAATTAATAAGATAAGGCATGACCAGGCAGGTGTGATTATAGCACCTGTGGCCCAAACAGACATGCTATCCTTACCTGCCTCTGATGTCAGTTGCTCCTCCAGTTCCTCTTCCTCCATGGCCAGACGTAGTGCACCAGGACCAGGGCTGGGTTCTGGATGCTGAGGCTCACAAGCTGCATCTGATTGCATGGCTCCTTCAGGGTTAACAGTGCACTCATTTACCTGCTCGGAAGAAATAAAAAGCATAATCCTTAATTGCCATAAACAGAGTTCAGGAAAAACTTACCTGTACAAATGGTGACACTTTTCTGAGAAGGCTACCCACAGAGCACTACAGCCATGGTCAATGCAGCCCACAATAGTCCTAGAATACCTCCTCACACTAAAACCTCAAAGCTTGTCTAATGTTAAGGTTCACCTTGTGGCCATAACAAATGAGCATAAGGTGGATGGACAAACTGATCTCTCACCCGATCACCAAGACATTTATGAAAGGCCTTGGCAATACCTTCCCTTCGAGAAAGCCAGTAATTCCATCTTGGGATCTCAACTTAGTTTTTCACACATTAACTCGTCCTCCATTTGAATTCATGGTGACTTGCTCATTAGCCCACCTTTCCATGAAGGTAGCATTTTTAATATCCGTTATGGCAGCCAGAAGGGTCAGCAAGATAGCCGCCCTTATGGCCAACCCACCGTTTACGACATTCGACAAAAACAAGGTCATACTCAGACCACATCCAAAATTTCTTCCAAAGATAGTCTCATGTTTACATCTCAATGAGCCTATATAATTTACCAGTCTTCCATCAGAAGCCTCGTCCAAATGCCAATGCGGCAAGACTCTGCTCATTGGACGTCAGACGGGCCATTGCACTTTACCTAGACAGAACAAGACAATTTAGACAATCACACAAGCTGTTTGTATCAATAGTAGACTGCTTTAAAGGGCAAGCGGTATCCAAACAAATGATCTCCAAGTGGATCGTGAATTGCATTCGCAAATGCTATGCCAATAGCAAAGTCGCATTACCTACACCTGTACGGGCACATTCCACAAGAGCGATAGGCACATCAATGGCCACCTTGCATAATGTGCCCATCTGAGACGTATGCAGGGCAGCAACATGGGCCTCCACACATACCTTTACAAAGCATTATGCATTAGATACTTACCATTCACAGTGTACCTCCTTTAGAACATCAGTCCTCTCAGTGTCCATCAATGAGATCCTAAGCCCCTCCTTCCCAGAGGCTAAAGGTACTGCTCCATAGTCCCCCACAGGGACACTCCTCGAAGAAGAAAAGAGAGGTTACTCATATTGTGCAGTAACTGGTGTTCTTCAAGATGGGTGTCCCCATGGCACCCAGGGGGAGTACTGCTACCAAAAAGCTCTGATTAGAAATGTAGGGGTGCCAAAACACCGACAGTGGAACACCCACAGGGACACCAATCTTGAAGAAAACCAGTTACTACACAAGATGAGTAAAGTCTCTTTTATGCAGTCAGGCTTTGAGGGCTGTGTTAGGTTCCAACTGATGACTGATACTTCAGGGCAGGACATGAAACCAGAAAAACAATCAAACCCTGTTTATGCCAACAGTTGAGGGGAGGAAACTGTGAAAATGCAATGTTCCTGCCTGCCTCCACTTTCTCAGGAAGATCTACGTTACTGGTGGCACAGATTTCTTTGGATGTAAATATATGCCTCTTGTAGTGATTGTAGATGTAATAGTTGGTTTGTTTTGGCCTTTCTTCCTCTATATATAGTCATCTTTCCCGGACTCATGTGTTTCAGCCACAAAACAGTGAAAGATAATTGGGGAGCTCTAGTAGGCGTAGGTGGAAAGTAGAGTGGAAGCATACATGGTTCCACTTCCTTGGTGGGTAAAAGAGAAGCAGCTGCATTCTGCATTGAGTGAACAGGTACTAATGGAGACCAGCATGAAAACTCCACCTCTGCTGAAATTTTCATCCTAAGGCATGGATGTGTAGAGGTGGTGATTGCCAGATGTAGAGGATGTAGGAGAATAGCAGTTCATGTCAGAGTGATGTTAATACTATAGACAGTGGAGGAAAATAGAAGATTTTTAAGTGGGGAAATGGAATTATGTTTGAAGATGCACCTTTCTTTACCCATTACATGCTTTTCATATAACTCACTTTACCTGCTGCCTTTGTTCCACTTTGCTATCCCAAAGGTACATAGCTAAACATATTCCTATACAGAATCTGTGGTCCTGCAGCAATTTTAATTAGCAGCTAAATCAGTATGAGCTTCGTGTGAGCTGCAATGTGCATCAATTTTTTCACTGACATCTCAGAAATCTGTCAGTGAATCTGGTTCTGAATCTAGCAATAATTTTTCAGCATTATTGACCTATAAGTGATTACAAAAACAAACAAACAGCCTTGAGAATTAGAACTCTGGGAAGGGTTGACATGCAACACTGTTGGGAAAACTGCATTTTCACAGAAGATTTTTTTACTTCATGTTTCAACAAAAGTGATAAGTATCTTTTTCACCTGACTGAAATCTACACATATTCCTGGGTGTGAGGCCAGATGAGTACAATTTGATAGCTTATTAGAGAATTAGAAAAAACGTAAACAATGAAAAGTCTAATTTTTAAGTTTTTCCTGTTACAGACTAATTTGGCTACCCCTCTGAAACTAGAGAATTAAGAGGCTATTATAAAAGCAGTTTTTGCTGACGTTTTGTCACTAGTACTACTCTAGGTCAGCTTTCCTCAGCCTAATTTTTTGTGACATTATATGGTTTAACATTCATTTCACTTAATTCTCCATTTTCTTTCTATGATAATTTAATATCTGAATATTTGACATACAACTATTGTTACATGAATATATTTGAATACAAGAATTTCTGGGAATTTCAGAAGGAGATACAGTAAATAGAACATCAGAAAGGGTAACAAACCTCCTTAGAAGTAGCCCGTGTCGTGAACTGAATACTATAAGACCTTTTTTGCTTGGTTTCCCAGCTATGGACAACCTTTATAAACTGTCTCTGCAAACTCTCAACGCAGATGCTTTCTTGAAACAACGACAGACCTCACCAACTCCTGCTTCTCCATCTCCACCCCCTGCAAATCTAGCTTTTGTGCCACGGAACACTTACAGTAGTATTGTGAACAGTAGTTGCAACAAGTAAGTTGAATCTCTACTTTGTGTTAGCAAATTCGAGGTGGAAAGAGCAGTCCGGTTATCTGTCTGCCAGTATATTTCTCAGTGCATTTTCACTCCCTTGGTCTGTGGTTCTTGATTTAAAGTGCTCTGAGTTTGTTCTTGTATATGTACCACATTCTGTAATATTGCAATGGGTTAGGGTTTCTTAAATTTGATTCTTCAGTGTGACAGATTGGGAAAATTGTTATAGACCACTGCTTGAGGTTGAAAAGCTGCTATGACATCTGTATCCATGATTTTACTGCTGCTGCTTTTGGAAATCTGAAATTGATATGATTCCTCTTCCATTTGCATTTGAAGCTATTTGATTGCTATTGGGCAAAGTGTATTGATTCACTGTAAGGTGACAGACAATGATTTTTCCTGTTAAGGTTTCTCTAATCTTAATACATTTTCCAATTAGGCACTGCAATGCTGGCTGAAAATAATTCAGCTGACTTCAAGAAATCCACTTGCGCCAGTATGTTCAGCAGAGAAGTTTCAAAATTCTTTAACTTCTATTGTCATCCCCATTTATCTCCCTTTTGTGGTGATCTGTTATTTCCTTTAGGCTAATGTCTATTGTTTCTTTGTAGGAAACCTGAATGGCAGGTTTAGGGTTAAAACATTGCAGCAGTGCTGCTGTAGCACTTCAGTGATGATTACTTTGCTGATAAGAGAGATTTTTCCATAGGCATAGTTAATCCACCTCTGCAAGAGGCAGTAGCTATTTTGAGGGGAGAAACCCTCCTTTTATCCCCCTGCTATGGGCAGCACTATGTTAGGTCATTATAATTGCATCTTTTTTTTTTATACCCGAGTGACAAAATTATACCAGTGTAATTTTACAGCGTAGATTTGACCTGACATTGTCTTGATTTTACTGTATTTAGCTGGTTTATTGAAAAGAGTGATCAACCTACGTTCTTTTTATTCAATAAGAACACAATATAATTACAGATATACTATTGTAATCTATTTACAGGACATTTTGTACTTTAATGAGCATACATTTATCAAACTGCAAAAGTAATATTTCATGCATATTACGATACAAGTATTATCTCATATCTGTGTAGTACTTTCAAAAGCTCGGCTCTTCCATGTAACACTGATAAGGTATTACTAATATGGGTGTGTGTCATCTTAACTTTATATTCAATGGGAAAAAAACTAGAAATACAGGCTATTTAAAGGTATATGTCCTAATTATTCCATGTCAGCAATTGCACATGATCTGTTTTTAAAAGCATAGATTATATGAAGTTGACTGATTGTACTAAGTAGTGCCATTCTGCTGTAGGCTATTATAAGCATATAGGGAAAAAGGTAAGGAGCTGCATTTCCCATAAAGCTATATTTCTATAGCCCCACTGTTTTTGATAGCCAAAAAGATTGATTCCCTCCTGCATTTTCTTTTGATAAAAAGATTTTCTGTTGCTACTGAATGGTATAATTTCAATATTACTCCTTATAATGGAAGAGCTTTCTGCCCTAATATATAAAAATATCCATATTTTATTTCTTGGGCACAGTTAATAATTTTTACTGAATCAGTCATATATATCTACAAATAAAATTTAGCTGTTGGATTTTTAAAGTTAGATCCTCTATTCCTGCTTTTGTAGATGTTGATTAAATAACATTAAAATACAGGAAGTTACCTTGATGATTTTTTTTTTTAACATTTCCCTTCAATGTTTGCGGTACTTCCTGGTATATCCAGGGCACAGTGAAATACTGAGATAATGTTATAGAACATTAGAACATGCTTAATCTTTTAAGAATGACCTTTCTACTCAGATTTCATGTGCCTTAATTTTTCTCAAAATTTGATGCCTAAAATATGGCTGCATTTTAACAGCCTTTCTTACCATCTTACAATAGCAAAACTAGCAAATAGTCTTGTTAAATTTTATCAAGACAGGACTGGCTCAATCTGCTTGTTTAATAGTACTTAGGGCCTTATCCAAAGTCCATTTAAATCAATTGAAAGACTTCTATTAAAATAGTGAGAATTGGCAGTGGCTCTTAAATCAGTGAGATGACTAAATTTTTTCTCCAGTGTTTGGGTAGATGTGCTTGTTTTTGTGGAGATTAAAATGACTGAAATTGACAATGCTATCCTCTCCTAAATGGTACTCTGAAATTTAATTTGTCTGGGAGTTGTAATTCTAAGTAATTAGAATGCAGAGATAAATTTCTTGAACTCTTAAATGACTGCTTCTTGGATCTGGAGCCCACAAGGAGAGAGGCAATTCTTGACTTAGTCTTAAGTGGAGTGCAGGATCTGATCCAGGAAGTAAATATAACTGGATCACTTGGAAATAGTGACCATAATATAATAAAATTTGACATCCCTGTGGTGGGAAAAATGCCTCAGCAGCTCAACACTCTGGCATTTAATTTCAGAAAGGGGAACTACACAAAAATGAGGCAGTTAAACAGAAATTAAGATATAGGGATAGAAATAAAATCCCTGCAAACTGCATGCAGACTTTTCAAAGTCAGCGTAATAGAGGACCAACTTAAATGTATATCCCAAATTAAAAACACAGTAAGAGAGCCAAAAGAGTGCCACCATGGCTTGGCTTAACCAAGTAAAAGAAGCAGTGAGGGGTAAAAAGGCATAGTTTAAAAGGTGGAAGTTAAATCCTAGAGAAGAAAATAGAAAGGAGATATTTGACAGAAATAACTGTCAAATTAAGTGTAAAAATATAAGAAAAGCCAAAAAGGAGTTTGAAGAACAGCTAGCCAAAAGCTCAAAGTAATAGCAACACATTTTTAAGTACATAAGAATCAGGAAGCCTGCTAAAACACCAGTGGGACCCCCTGGATGATTGAGATGCCAAAGGAGCTCTCAAAGACAATAAGGTCACTGCAGAGAAACTAAATGAATTCTTTGATCTTCGCAGCTGAGGATGTTACAGAGATTTCCAAACCTGAGCCATTATTTTTAGGTGACACATCTGAAGAATTGTCCAAGATTGAGGTGTCACTAGAGGAGGTTTTGGAACAGATTAATAACTAGCCAGTAACCTGTCACAAGGACTAAATGGTATTCTCCCAGAAGTTCTGAAAGAACTCAAATGGAAAGTCGCTGAACTCTTAACTATGGTTTGTAACCTATCCTTTAAACCAGCTTCTGTACCCAGTGACTGAAAGATAGCTAATTTGACACCAGTATTTTTAAAGGGCTCTAGAGGTGATCCTGGCAATAACAGACCACTAAGTCTCATGTCAGTACTGGGCAAATTAGTTAAAACGATAGTAAAGAATCAAATTGTCAGACACATAGATGAACATAACTTGTTGGGGAAAAGTCAACATTGTTTTTGTAAAGGGAAATCATGCCTTACTAATCTACGAGAGTTCTTTGAGGGGGTCAACAAACATGTGGATAAGGGGGATCCAATGGATAGAGTATTCCAGAAAGCCTTTGACAAGGTTCCTCACCAAAGGCTCTTAAATAAATTAAATTGTCATGGGGTAAGAGAGAAGGTCTTCTCATGGATTGATAACTGGTTAAAAGACAGGAAACAAAGGATAGGAATAAATGGTAAGTTTTCAGAGTTGAGCAGTGTGTAACTAGTGTGGTCCCCCAAGGATCTGTCCTGGGACCAATCCTATTCAACCTATTTATAAATGATCTGGAGAAAAGGGTAAACAGTGAGGTGGCAAAATTTGCAGGTGATACTAAACTGCTCAAAATAGTTAAGACCAAAGCAGACTGTAAAGACCTTCAAAAATATCAAACTAAGTGATTGGGCAGTAAAATGGCAAATGAAATTTAATGTTGATAAATGTAAAGGAATGCATCTGAAAAAATAATCTGAACTCTACATACAAAATGATGGAGACTAATTTAGCTATAACTACTCAAGAAAGATCTTGGAGTCATTGTGGCTAGTTCTCTGAAAATGTCCACTCAATGTGCAGCAATAATTAAAGGGATAGAGAATAAGACAGAGAATATCTTATTGCCTCTGTATTAAACCATGGTATGCCCACATCTTGAATACTGAATACAGATGTGGTCGCCTCATCTCAAAAAAGATATACTGGCATCGGAAAAGGGCAGCAACAATTAGGGTTTTGGAACGAGTCCCATATGATGAGAGATTAAAAAGACTGGGACTTTTCATCTTAGAAAAGAGAAGACTAAGCGGGAGGGGAGAATATGCTAGAGGTCTATAAAATCATGACTGGTATGGAAAAAGTGAATAAGGAAAAGTTTTTTACTTGTTCCATAACATAAGAACGAGGGTTAGCCAAATGAAATTAATAGGTAGCAGGTTTAAAACAAACAAAAGGAAGTTTTTCTTCATGTAGCACATGATCAACGTATGGAACTTCTTGCGAGAGGATGGTGTGAAGACCAGGACTTTAACAGGGTTAAAAAGAACTAGAAAAATTCACGGAGGTTAAGTCTATCAATGCTTATTAGCCAGAGTAGATAGGAATGGAGTCTCTAGCCTCTGTTTGTCAGTGGCTGGGAAAGGATGACAGGACAGGGATCACTTGATGATTACCTGTTCTGTTCACTCCCTCTGAGGCAGTGGTTCTTAACCTTACTGCAGCCTGCACCCCTTTGGTTCTCAAAATATGGTCTCTCACCCCTTATTAAAAATCGTTATTAAAAAGTAGGTCAGTTTTAAACCTAAGATGTATCAAAAATCTGGCATATCTCACACCCCCAAGGGGTGCATGCACCTCAGGTTAAGAACCACTGCTCTGGGGCATCTGCCATTGGCCACTATTAAAAGACAGGACACTGGGCTAGATGGACCTTTGGTCTGGCCCAGCATGGACATTTTTATGTTCTTATGTTAGTTTTTTTAAAGGTTAACATGTGGTGAGGAGCACTTATCATAACCAGGAGTAGGTGCTGCCTTGAATGGCCTATGTATACAGACTTATGGAGTCTAAATAGAAGATGGAGATATTGAATGAATACAGACAGATGGGGGAGTACAAGGACACAGTGGTATCACATTGGTCAGTCTACTAGGCAATGGGCTCCACACAACAGCCAACTAACTCTTTAATTTTTTTGTAGGCATCATATCTTTGCAGATGTTTACACAGAGCTCCTCCAAGTTTGCGGTTTGGTAGAAAGCACAAAGGAGTGTCTATTTGAAAATGTTGTAAGTGGCCAGTGAAGTCTGGAGGTATTTGCTGACTGAAAGTAGGAGTCTACATTTCGATACTGAGTGAGAGCTCATAGGTGGTAGAGTGAGAATAGGTGTGAAGGCTCTTGAAAACAAAGACAAGAAGCTTAGCTTTGGTGTGAATGACCAGTGGAGAGACTCAGAGTAAAGGGTGACACGAACAAAGCAATAGGCCACTAATATGATCCGGAATGGATATCAGTAGGGTAAGATGGCATTTTTTTTCAAGGCCAGGGAGAGAGATGTTGCAGTATTATAGAGGAGAAGCATGGATGAGAGCTTTAGCTATGTGGATGGATTCTGTTCCTCCTCAACAGTCTCCAAGACCGCATGACACATTAAAGGTCCATGCCAAAGAAGGAAACCTGCCAAGGAAGTTACTCAACAGTTGAATATTTCTTCTTTCACTCTATATGAAGCTGTTGTCTCATGTTTACTATATCAGACAATTTCAAGATCTGATAATCCCCATTTACAACTAGTGGAGGAGATACAGCACAAACTGTTAGACCTGTCGTCAACATGGGTGGCTTTCTCTATCACATGCTTTATGGAAATTACCAGGTCCAAATGGCAGACTCCTGCTACTGCTCCCCCATCCCCAACAGCTAAAAGACCAGAAAATGGTATTATGTCCCAGCTGGGCATAACATAACACACACATAACACGCAGATCCTGTTATGACTCTTAGTTTTAGAATTCTAAGCTACAGAAAGCTTATTGTATCAATGCTACAAGCATGAATTCAAATCTGTTGAGCCATTACAACCTGTATATTCAGAGAAAAAAAATTAAAATAATTTTTACATTCACCTACCTGTGTTGTTCACCCCATATACCAACTGTAGTTCATTCTCCAAGGATGTCCTCCATATCTTGTAGGAATCCAGCCTTTCTTGCCTTCATTTTCTAGGTCCTAACACATCTTTTTTTTCCAGATTAAGAAAGCTAATGTTTCCTCTAGAGACCTCAGCAGTGTTGGTGCTTTGAGCCTTATGTTTGCAATCATTTAATAGTAACTCCTTTGCTTGATTTATATAGTTAAACTGTCTAAATGTCAGCAGAGTAACTAAAACCTGGGCTTTGGAAATTTGTGTGGTATTATATTCTGGCCCAAAATGTGAGGCTATTTCTGCAATAACTTTATATTATTACAAAGCCAGTTAAATACTAGTCCTGAAAACTTCCTTTTGTAGTATTGTGCTGACTCCTAACACTTTACCTTTTTTTCCCCTTCTTTTCAGTGAAGCAAAAAGCAAACAGCTTAATAGTGCCAAACACAAGTTGGCAAAGGCAGCTTCTCTCCCTGGCAGGAATGGAAACCCCACTTTTGCTGCTGTAGCTGCAGGTTATGACAAGAGCCCAGGTAATGGAACTGTTTTGGAGTAATATCAGAGTTGACTAATGTTCTTGTACCATTTCATTGCTTTATTCAATTTGAATTCATTGTTGCAGGAGGTAGTGGATTAGCAAAGGTTTCACCAAATAAAACAGATGTTTCTGGCAATATCAGCATTTCTCACACACCAGTTGACAGTGATGGCTCTGACAGGTAACTAATTTACTTCTAAAAACCCAATCTCTTCACCTTCCCTATAAAAACGTTAGGGAATACATATGAAGTCAACAGAGGCATTCTTTGCAGATAGGAGGCACGCATTTTTGTTCCTAGAAGGGATAGGTTTTTTATTATTTCAGAGGTGGACATCTGACAATGGCCATCTAAACATGAGGATCATTAGCATGCTCAAGTTTTAGAACTAAATGGATGACTTGGAAGTAGGGCAGCAATTCTCAATTGTAGGTAAAGACCCCATTTTAATGTGTTTGTCAGTGCTAGAGTTAGACTTAATGGGGCCCATGGCCCTGGACCTTGGAGCTCGGACTATCAGCCCTCTGCCCAATGCTGAATCCCATGAACTTTTGGAGCAGCAGGGATCAAGTGGTCTCAGGCTGCAGTCCCTCCTCCCAGAGTCATGCAATTTTTGATATCAGAAGGGGATCACAGTGCAATGAAATTTGAGACTCCCTGAAACAGGGAAAATATCTTTCATGGCCTCTGATTCTTATGCTGTTTAATACTGTCTTTTTCCCTTTGCCAGGCAGCTATATCTACGTCCCTATCCAAGCAATAGGGAATCCATGTGGCTTTCTCAGCATCTTGAGAAGCATGCACTTGGTTCACCTGTTAGAGCCTGTTGGTGGAGTTTCTGACCACAGAGCAGGGGAGCCAAGTGTTTTCTCTCCTAATTTAACCTTGAGGACAGGAATGGTGACACTGTTTCCCAGTTTTGAGGGAAGAAACGTAGCATAGTCAGATTAAATGATACTTCCCAGTTGGCAGCATGACCTTAATTAAAAGGTGATGGATGTTTGCATCAGCATGGTTACTAGAACAATGGACAAGAGGAGGAAATGAGCTCTGAGGGAGAATGTGTTTGACACAGAGCTAATAGCTGTTATGGAGTAAGAACTAGGTATTAGCTAGGCTTTTGCTTTCCTGACCAAACTGCTTCTCCCCTCATCACATTTGTTAACATTTATTAAATTTAAATTGAGAAACTACAATCTTAGCAATTGAATGGCTTTCTTTTAAGGGATCTTTTAAATAATTTAGAACCTAGACTGGTACCTGTCTGGTGCAGAATTTCCCCTAGATAGGGACAACAAAAACTTCTGAGAAATCGAACAAAAGAGCTATTGTCAAATGTGTACTTGAGATAACTGGAAATAGAGCAGTATAGTTAACTGCTGATGCAGAGAAGCCTTTCTCTCATAAGACAGGTGCAAACAGAAAAGTAAACCAAAAGGCTTTCTGAAACTGTTAGGGCCAGATGAGAGAAATCTAAATTAACAGAGTGCAATAATGATGAGTTACAAAAAAAAAACCCACACAGAGTATGGTAAAATACTTGATCACTTCAAAAATGAGTAGTTATGTGGTACCTTAGACTAACAAAACTATATGTACAGTATCATGAGATTTTGTCAGCACAGTTCACTTCTGATGAGCTTGAGTGGAGAAAAAAAGATGAGTTTTTGTTTTTTGTTTTTTCTGCTCAAGCTCTTCTGTGGAAGTGGGTTTTGTCCATGAAAGCTCATGATACTGTATATCTATTTTTTGTTAGTCTCTAAGGTGCCACAGGACTACCGATTTTTTTAAGTTACAGACTAACACGGCTATGTCTAAGAGACTTGGTCGCTTCAGTTCTCTTTACACCTGGTATCCTATTTCAACTTATGTTTCCTGACAGTAAATCTGTTTCCCACAGTGTCTATATGTACAGCAGTAAGCTTTTATCATTAGTGATCCAATTTCAGAATTAACTTTGTGTATTGTTCCACCCTCTTATGTTTTTAGTTCTGGTTTGTGGAGTCCCATCAGCAACCCTAGCAGCCCAGACTTCACACCCCTCAATTCATTCTCAGCATTTGGAAATTCTTTCAACTTAACTGGGGGTGAGTAAATAAACAATCAAGTGTGAAAAATTCTTCATTCCTTTCTCCATGTTGGAAATATAAAAGTAGTTCTTCAGGGTTTTTTTTTTTGTTTAAGGGAAGAAATTGTTAGAAGTATGGTGGAATAGTCTAATACAGTGGTTTTCAACCAAAGGGATGCATAACCAATGAGATGTATGCAGTAGGGATGAGAATGGTTAACTGATACCTGGAAGCAGCCTGTTACAGGCAGAGAGCTGCTTCAGCCCTGTGGGAGCCAGGAGCAAAAGTGGGAGGGAGGTGGAGGGTGAGAGCAGTCCCCTGTTGAGATCTCATTTAATTGGCTAACCAGTTAAACCTACTGATTAACCAGGGTTTTACATCCCTAGTATGCAGAGTTCTTCCAGGGCATACATCAACTCATCTAGATATTTGCCTAGTTTTACAATAGACTACATAAAAAGCATGAGAAACTGGACACAATATTCCTGTGCCTAATAAAGGGGAATAATAACTTCTAAAAAGCATGAGAAGTCAGTACAAACTACAATTTCATACACTAACTTGTTTATGGCGAGGAGTCCTGTGGCACCTTATAGACTAACCGAAGTGTTGGAGCATAAGCTTGCATCTGACGAAGTGGGTCTTTGCCTACGAAAGCTTATGCTCCAACACTTCGGTTAGTCTATAAGGTGCCACAGGACTCCTCGCCATAAACAAGTTAGTGTATGAAATTGTAGTTTGTACTGACTTCTCATGCTTTTTATGTAGTCTATTGTAAAAGGCTCTATCCACTAAAATATAAGTACAATATTTATATTGTAATCAAGAGTTATAATTAGTATAGTGAAAGGAAGCAAGCTTTCGGTATTAGTGTGCTCTGACACTTTTGTGTTTTTTATGTCTGTTTTTTTTAACCAAGTATAGGATAGCATGGAATCCTAGGGCTGGAAGAGACCTTAGGAGGTCATAGAGTCCAGCCCCCTGCCCAAGGCAGGACCAATCCCAACTAAATCAACCCATCCAGGGCTTTGTCAAGCCTAGACTTAAAAACATCTAGGGATGGAGATTCCACCACCTCCCTAGGTAACCCATTCCAGTGCTTCACCACCCTCCTAGTGAAATAGTTTTTCCTAATAGCCCGCCTAGACCTCCCCCACTGTAACTTGAGATCATTGCTCCTTGTTCTGCCATCTGTCACTACTGAGAACAGCCTCTCCTTCTTTGGAACCTCCCTTGAGGCAGTTGAAGGCTGCTATCCAATCCCCCCTCACTCTTCTCTTCTGCAGACTAAATAAGCCCAAATCCCTCAGCCTCTCCACGTAAGTCGTGCTCCAGCCCCCTAATCGTTTTGGTCACCATCCTCTGTATCCTCTCCAGTGCGTCCATATCCTTTCTGTAGTGGGGGCCCCAAACTGGACACAATATTCCTGTGCCTAATAAAGGGGAATAATAACTTCTTTAGATCTGCTGGAAATGCTCCTCCTAATGCACCCTTATATGTCATTTAGCTTTCTTGACTACAAGGGCACACTGACTCATATCCAGCTTTTCATCCACTGTAATTCCCAGATCCTTTTCTGCTGAACTGCTACTTAGTAAGTTGGGCCCCAGCCTGTAACAATGTTTGGGATTCTTCTGTCCCAAGCGCAGAACTCTTCATTTGTCCTTGTTGAACCTGATCAGATTTCTTTTGGCCCAATCCTCCAATTTGTTTAGGTCAGTCTTGGGCCCTATCCCTACCCTCTGCATGCACCTCTTTCCCCTAGGTTAGTGTTATCCGCAAACTTGCTGAGGGTGCAATCCATCCCCTCATTCAGGTCATTAATAAAGATGTTGCACAAAACCAGCTCTAGAACCCATCTTCGGGGCAGTCCACTTGAAACTGACCACCAACCACTCATCAAGCCATTGATCATTACCTGTTGGGCCCAATAATCTAGCCAGCTTTCTATCCATTTTGCAGTCCATTTATCCAATCCATGCTTCCTTAACTTGCTAGCAAGAATATTGTGGGAGACTATCAAAAGTTTTGCTAAAGTCAAGGTATATCACCTCCACTGATTTTCCCCCTGTCCATAGAGCCATCATAGAAGCTAATCAGATTGGTCAGGCATGACTTGTCCTTGGTGAATCCATGCTGACTATTCCTGATCACTTTCCCCTCTTCCAAGTGCTTCAAAATGGATTCCTTGAGGATCCCCTCCATGATTTTTCCAGGGACTGAGGTAAGGCTGACTGGTCTGTAGTTCTCTGGATTGTCCTTCTATTTTTTAAAGATGGACACTGCATTTGCCTTTTTCCAGTCATCCAACACCTCTCCCAATCTCCACGGCTACGTCTACACTGGCCCCTTTTCCGGAAGGGGCATGGTAATTTTTGAGATCGTAATAGGGAAATCCGCGGGGGATTTAAATATCCCTCGCGGCATTTAAATAAAAATGTCCGCCGCTTTTTTCCGGCTTTTAGAAAAGCCGGAAAAGAGCGTCTACACTGGCCCCGATCCTCCGGAAAAAAGCGGCGGACATTTTTACAATACTAATGTGTGTGTTTCTTTTCCTACCTTTTTAGAGGTTTTCAGCAAACTTGGGCTCCCTCGATCTGCTTATGGCCAGGATATGCAACGAAACTGGAGTGAATTTAGTAACATCCCTTCATCCATCTGGGACTCTTCAGCTACAGGTCTTGTACCCTCCTGGCCAACAAATTCAGGTTCCCCAACTCACACAACTCCAGTAAGTACACAGGCTCTATAGTCTTTTAGCCATGTGACTTAATTAGTATCCAGAGTCTCTTTAATTGAATGCTGCTGAAAGTTTGGTTGCTCTTCATCTGAAGGGTTGACAAGGAAGAACTTAATCCTCATTTTATGTAGTCAAAATAGCTGTTGAATGAAAAAAGTTTAAAGATATTTGTGTGCTGTAAAAACCAATGAAAAAGATGTATTCACCTGCACATAGATCAGTGTACATTGCTTTACATAAAATACCTGTCTTAGGGCCAGTCTTACAGCAAAGTTGCAAGCACTTGGAATTTTTATAAAACCACTTGTTTGGTACTCAAGTAGCTTCTTCCAGTATTAGACATATGCACTCCTATAGTACTCCTATCTATTCTGCACCAAAAGCCAGGTGCATTTGCTCTATCACCGATAAAGCTACTCCTTCCACTTTCATGCAGTTAAGAATTGCCAAATGTCATCTTGGCTAATCTCGATTCTGCTTGGTAGCCCCATTATCTTTCAAAATTCTAAATCACTTCCGTCCAAGACATGATATTTTCATACCTATTTTTCAGGAGTTGCAAATTTTCCTAATACTGCAGCTTTAAAACAAAGGCCACAAATGTAGATAAAGAAATCAGATACTGAAGGGGCAGACTCTTTGCTGACAATGACTTTAGCCCCATAAATCTTGCATGTAGCTAGCTAGAAAGAATAGATCTGACATTTACCGTATTTTCCGGCGTATAGGGCGACTGGGTGTATAAGACGACCCCCTATCTTTTTAATTAAAAGATAGGGTTTCATCTTATACCCCAGCGCCCCTCCGCCTCCTTTGCTCCCGGTGTCCCTGGTCTGCTGGAGATGGTCCCCAGCAGAGCCCCATAAATCTTGCATGTAGCTAGCTAGAAAGAATAGATCTGACATTTACCGTATTTTCCGGCGTATAGGGCGACTGGGTGTATAAGACGACCCCCTATCTTTTTAATTAAAAGATAGGGTTTCATCTTATACCCCAGCGCCCCTCCGCCTCCTTTGCTCCCGGTGTCCCTGGTCTGCTGGAGATGGTCCCCAGCAGACCAGAGGCACCCGATTTTTGGGGGATGTTTTTTAACATCAGAGGTCGTCTTGTACGCCGGAATATACGGTACTTTAACACCTAGTAATTTGGGTTCCAGACCAACACATTTAAAGACAAGTCTACATCTGGAACGCTCTGCTGGTACAGCTATAATATTAAACTGGGAAAGCACTAGGTTATACTAGAAAAGGG